CGAATGCGCTGATGGAGATGAGGCTGGTCTTGCCAGAATCTGATCCACTGTCGAAGGGACTGCACACGAAGCTGGACTCCAGGGTCCGAACCGTCGAATGTAGTACCCAGCAGCGTGGTTAAGCAGCGCCCCGCCGCTTGACCAGTGGCACCTGCTGCCGCCTGCCTCCTCCATCTCAACAGTGCATGGCGAGCCAACCCTCGGACTTGATGGCCATAGACTCCCTGAGGCAGGGAACCTGTGGCCCAAAGGCCCCTGGCGATACGTGCCTGCTGAGCCGTGTTGCGCATCTTCACTATGCGCTTGGTCCTGGTGGTGGCCGCCCGAGCCCGTTCTCCAGCTTTCTTCTGGACTCTGCGCGTGCCCGCTGCCATGTCGATGCCCAGATCGGTGGCCGTCGTCGTAGCAGAGACAGGAACTCCACGCCTACGAAGATTGTGCTCCAGCTTCACTCGCACTTGCTTGTTGTTGGAGAGGACCACGGTCTTGTCGGAGACAGGGAGCTCAGCATGATCCAAAGCCGCCTTCAATTCCGCTCCCGCCTTGGTCAGCTGCTGCAGCGCTGAGGCTGCCGTGCCCTCCGACCTTGCCACCGTGTCATCCACGAAAGTCCACATAGTAGCTCCCTCCGCCCGTCGCTGGGCATGCGTGAGGATGGGGGGCAAGAACAGTCTCGCCGGGATAACTCCGCGTGGAGAGCCAGCAACAATTCCTTGTAAAGCGCAGATGGGCTCAGCAATCCAGCCCTGTGCTCGCAGAATCCTGGGGCTGAGAAAGAGCTGAACCTCCAAGAGTAGACATATTGCAGGAAACTCCTCATCCAATCCCACTTCTATGAGTCTCGCCAACTTTACATGGTCATAAAACTTAGCGAGGTCCATCAGTAGGGTGCCGACTGTCAAGCCCATGGTGACCGCCGGCTCGTCAAGAAACGCCCGATGTAGTGCTGCAGAGAGGGCCGATGGGCCTTTCATAGCAGTGCACCAGAAATCATGCAATCCGTCGCTCCACTTATCTGAGGCAGCTCCTCTGATGCGACTCCATGTGCGTGCGATGTAAGGGAGGACACCTAGCACACGATCGCCTCCTGCTTTCTTCGGCGCCATGGCCGCCAATGTGGCCATGACCTGGGGAGGCCAGACACCTTGCGTCTCGATAAGATTGAGCATGTCAGTGTACTGCTGGAGGGCCTCATCAGGTAAGCGTAACATATCGTGGCCCAATCATGTCCACACCCTTCGCCTTGGAGGCTGGCATTATAGCCAAGGTTCTCTTCAGCTGCTCCAGTTGGATGGTATCAGGGGGGTCCTCTCGGACCTGCCGCCGAGCCTTATCCAGAGCTTCCAGGATCTGCTGCTTGGACTCACGAGGTGTCCAAACCTTCTCCCATTCCTGCCGCTTCGCCTCCATGATCAGGTTCGGGTTGGAGACCGGTGTGCCACTGATGTAGATTTCCAGACGCTGCTGCTCCTGCGGCTTGACCTGGCGATACAGAACACCAGGCTTCGCCTTCCACATGTCAGCCAGCCAACCCGAATACTTCTTCTTGGACTGGTAAGAGGCATGAGCGGCAGCACGGCCTGACCAAGCCTCCGTGCGTGAGATGAGCTCCGATCGTTCGTCGTCATCCAGGATGGTGATGGTGCGTGCCAACTCCGACCATCGGAAAACCTCATCCTCCTCCACCTTCGGCAGTAGCAGGTCTCGCTTCCTGTGGAAGTCCGTGACCCTCTGATGCAATAGGGTGAGATTAGCCACTACAAGGTTCTCATGCTTCTGATGCTTGCACAGAGCGATCATCTTCTTGACCGACGTCAGGGTGATCGCCCACCATTCCGCAAGCTCGTGCTTTATGTGAGTACGTCCTGGGCAAGCCGCTGTCTTCTCCCATTGGAAGTGCACTCCGTTTGCCCTCCCAGAGTAGGTGACTTGCTTCTCTACTGGAACAGCATGATGATTTAAAACCGTTGCCTCGAAGGTCGTCATCCACTTGGCATGGTGCACTGACGCACCCATGGTCGCCTCAGGGTCCCTCTCGTGCAGAAAATGAGGAGGTAGACCCCATGATGTAGCGACTCCCGTACCAGCTCCGACCTTGTCGATCAGCTCCAAGGGGGGCGAGCACGCTCCCACGATTTGAGGCCCGTGGCCACCCGTATGGGCTCTTGGGGCCCCCGCTCCCCTTAATGGCATACAATCGATCTCCTGGATCATCCCCAGAGAGACAAATGGGGCCCCCTCCAGCAGGCGAGCCCCCCCTTGCGGGTGCTGCGAGCCTGCCTTCTCTGGAGGCCCAACCGTGTCGTAGGTGCTCAGCGTGACAGTCGCGTCGAGGGTGCCCAGGGTGCCCCTCCAGTGGTCAGCCGCGTCCATACCAGCAGCTGTAGTAACTCCAGTCGCACCAGTCTCGACGATGCCGAGCAGCTCCAAGGGGGGCGGGCACGCTCCCACGATTTGAGGCCCGTGGCCACCCGTATGGGCTCTTGGGCCCCCCTCCCCCCTTAATGGCATACGATCCATCTCCTCGAGCGTCCCAAGCGATACAAATGGGGCCCCCTCCAGCTGGCGAGTCTTCCCTGGCGGGCGCTGCGAGCCTGCCTTCCCTGGGGGCCCAGCCGTGTCGTAGATGCTCCGCGTGACATTCATGTCGCGGGTGGTGCGGCTCAGCGTGTCCCTCGTGTCGTCCTGGTGGCGCCTCCAGGTGTCCAGAGGGATAGCAAAGTCGACTCCGCTCACATAGTCGACCTCCGCTGCCACCAGAGCTGGAGGCGCTGCTGACGCCTCTTGTGACTGGGTAAACTCATCAAACGCCTGCTGCAAGGTATCAGGCAGTTGGTTGCGCCTCTTGTCTAGCGCTGCCTTCTTCCTCAAGGATGTCTCGCTGTTGGGGTTCGCCTGCCTCTGCGGTCTGGGAGGGCAGGGCATATCAGCAGGGAGGGCCAGGGCACGAAAGTGCCAGGGCTGAGACTCGCCCGCGCATACCTCCAGGCCGCAGCGTGTTCCCCATGGCACGTCGTGCACCTGGCGAATGACCACAGATCTCTCCCAGCCACGCTTCACCACCGCATAGTCAATGGTCGAGCCTGAGCCTTTATCACGCGTTGCAGAGCCAGGGGCAACAAGAATAGAGCCACCCCGCTCCTCAGGGTAGCCGCTGTCAGCCAATTGACACGGCGTCATATTCCAATCTGCTAGGACAATCCAAGGGTCCGCCAACATGTCCAAGACAGCGGTGAGTGCGACTATGCGCTCATGGACGGGGCCCGTGATGGATTGGTGCGGTTCAATGTAGAAGGTTGCCTGTCTTGCGGTGCCACGTCATCGGGGCGAAGCCATGGCACGGATCAATTGCATACAGCTGGCGGCTCCGTTGTCTCATAGCGTCGAAGGTGGATGCAGCCACCGGCTTCCGAGCTAAGACCATCTCTCCGCCCGGTGTGCCCTCTGCCGATCGACCCGTCGGCACTGCATAACATTTCGGGGATCTCCAATCATCCTTGTCAAGCTTAAGAAACTCCTGCTGATGTTTGGCCTGTGAGATATGCGTCTCAACCATGGCCAGTACCTGATATCGCTTGCCAGTAGACGCCACCCATCTCTCAGCCTGAGGGCCCCACTCAGTGATGCTCGCGAAGAACAGTTGGGCCTCTTCCAATACAGGCTGAGCAGCGACGGGGCAGGCGTCACTACCCCCGCTCTGGATGAGTAGGAGCGCCAGAGCCAGCAGCCAGGCCAACGGCCTTGGTCTTGGAGGTCTCGGCAGCCTGGCGGAGCGAGTCTTCGGACATCGTCTTGAGCCGTTCACCGTCCAGCGGAGGCTGAGGGGGCGCGGGCGTTGGGGCGGCTGCGGCCCCAGGGGCCGCTGGCATGGCAGGTGGGCCGCCCGCTCCGCCGCCTCGGGCTGTGTCGACCGACGACGCCTCGCCTCCTCCCTCCTGGCGCCTCCGCTTGGCGACGCGCTCCTGGTCGAAGCGCTTGATGGACTCCATGAGTTCCTGGAGCTTCTGAACCGCCGACTCCAGCTGCGGCCTGGCGGCGTCGAACTCCTTCTTGTACTCCATGAATGTCTTGCGCTCGTTCTCGTCCATGTCCGCGGGGTCCGCGGTTTCGAAGATGTCGTAGTCGGTGATGACCTTGTTGCGCTGAGGTGCTTCACGTGCCTGTTCCGACTGCAGCGTGGAGAGCGCCTTCTGGTAGGCGAGCTCCGCCAACGCCTGCTCTTCCACCTTGGACGCGTGCACCTCCGAGGCCGACTCCAGGTCTGCGCGGGCCCGTAGCACGCCCATCGCCGCCTTCTGAGTGGCCTGCTCCGTCTTGCGTAGCTCCTGCTTGGCCTTCTGAGCCGCCTCCCACGCGTCCGTGGGCGGCGGCGTCTTCTTCGCCTGGTGCAGCTCCGTCTGAATCGCAGCTGCCACTGCATGGGGAAGATCAGCCTTGAGGAGGTCGCGCAACTTCCTCTCGTTGGTGTTGGGAGATTCGTTCTTGTGCCTGGCCACGGAATTCCACGGCGCCCACAGCTGAACCTTATGTCCACACTGGCAGACGCAGTCCTGCGCGATGAGCTTGGTGTTCCAGATCCAATTCTGGCAGCCCTCGCAACGACTCCAGGCGCGGCCATACTTCTTGCCTCCCATGAATGCTGCAACAAACTCAGTGAGGGAGCCCAACTCCTCGGTGGAGGCAAGAGAAACTGTCGGACGCAAGCGTCCTGGCACTGCCGCGGAATAGCGGTATCCGTGAAAGCCAATGCGGGCTCCGCCCGCCAAAGCATCAGCCTTGAGCCAAAATGGCTACGGAGGAGCAGGAGGAGGAGGAGGAGGAGGAGGAGGAGAAGGAGGAGGACTCCCTCCCCTCCAACTTATGGTGGGGGAGGAAGAGGGGGAGGGGGAGGGGGAGGAGGAGGAGGAGGAAGAGGAGGAGGAGGAGGAGGAGGAGGAGGAGGAGGAGCAGGAGGAGCAGGAGGAGGAGGAGGAGGAGGAGGAGGAGGACTCCCTCCCCTCCAGCTTATGGTGGTGGTGGTGGAGGACAGGCCCATCAGCAACATTAAGCGCGGCGAGCGCGCGCCGCTGCCACGCAGCGGCCGGCCAGCAGGGACGGCACGCCCCTCGCCTGGCAGCCGGGCGCCCCGCGGCGAGGCAGCGCGCGCCGCGCGCCTGCCTCCCGGTGCAGCGGAGGCCCGCCGACAGGAAGCCTGCCACTATAGGGACCCAGCACTTCGACCACAGGACGTCCCTCTCGTTCCCCAGATCCTAAGACGGGGTTCTTGTTCTTCCTTGGGCGCCTCCTGTTCCTCCTCCTCCTCCTCCTCCTCCTCCTCCTCCTCCTCCTCCCTCATACCCAGACTTACTCATACTCAGACCTTCCCATTGTCTGACTTACTCAACACACACAACAGATTGTGAGGATGCCTCAGGCGGGGCGCTGGTTTCAGCACCCCTAAGGGGAGCCGCCGAGGGGTTTTGCACGGTCCCGTTCGCGGCCGTTTCGTGGGGATGTCTCAAGCGGTTTGCCTGTAGCCGCCGAGGGGTATTGCACGGTCCCGTTCGCGGCCGTTTTGTGGGGCTGTCTCAAGCGGTTTGCCTGTCTTCTGTCTCAACATCCTTCGCTTGGAGAGCAGATTGTGAGGATGTCTCAGGCGGGGCGCTGGTTTCAGCTACATCAAAGGAGCCGCCAAGGGTGCTTTCACGGCTCCGTTCGTCGCCGTTCTGTGGGGATGTCTCTAGCGGTTTGCCTGTTTTCTGATTTTGCGTTGTGTCCCGAGTGACTCTCCCCGTTGCGTACGGCGGTCAAGGAGGGGTGACCAGGTGTTGCTGGCGCAGAGCTTCGTCACCGTGGGATGTTGCTTTCTCTCTCCGTGGTGTTTTCGAATCTTGTCGTCGTCAGCGGGAGAAAGAACTTGAGAAGGTTCATTATCCCGCGTGCGTTGTGGGCTGGGGAGGGAACTTGAAAAGGTTCACTCCCTAGCTGCGGGAGGGTGAACTTGAAAAGGTTCACTTTCCCGCTTGTAGTCGAACTGGAAAGAGAACTCGAAAAGGTTCACTCTCCAATTGAGTGTTTATATGCGTAGATGCTCATCTAAATATCCCACATACAGTATTACCTTTCAAAAAACGATGCACATATGGGGAGCTCCACGCAGTAAGTAATTTTCGTTGGGGTGGAAGCGACACGCTCCCCATCGCAAAAGCATCGAGACCCAAGGAGCCCTGGAGGCAAGCAGGGCGTTTCGTGGCGTGAATCTCCACTAAGCTCCCCGGGCCTCCGGAACGGGCCTCCGGCGCCCCCGGCCGCGGGCCAAGTGAGGCCGGCCCTTAGCTTGACCCAGAAAAGCCTGAGCCCCCAGTGGGGTAGGGAGAGCGAGGGAAAGAGAGAGAGAGAGAGAGCGAGAGAATGCAGAGCAAGGGAGAGTGAGAGTGGGGTAGGGAGAGCGAGGGAAGAGTGGGGTAGGGAGAGCGAGGGAGAGAGGGAGTGAGGCAGAGAGAGCAGAGAGAGTGGGGTAGGGAGAGCGAGGGATAGCGAGGGAGAGTGAGAGAGAGAGAGAGAAGCAGAGAGGGCGGAGCAAGGGGAGGAGCAGAGAGAGGGACCCCGCACAGCTCTGGGGCCGAGAAAGCCTTGCATTTACAGCAAACAGCCAAAACTACGAGTCCGGAGTAAACAGTCCAAAAACCTAGAGTAAGCCAATGATCAACCGGGATTGGGCCAGGGCGAACGGGATTGGGCCAAATTTGGCCGCTCGTTCGACCACGGGTATACCCGAACCGGAGCTGAATGTGATCTCAAGGGAGTTGCATCCGAAAGTAGATGGGGCGCTGGCAGAAGGAAGAAGAGGAAATACAGGGCGCATATGAAGGAGGACGACCGCGTGGATCAGTTGGAACGGCTGGCCTCTTTTGGAGGCCTATACATTGGCACCAACATCAACACAGGGGGGATTGCCTCCACATGGGAAAGATGATCCTAATTTTGGTGTTGGTGGCGATATGTCGGTCACCTTGGAAGCCAGAATATCACCACCATCACCGAGATCGGGACCTTCTTCCCTCGGTGGAGGCACACCGCCGATATTGAAGTTGGTGTCAACCTCTAGGCCTGCGACTCTTTCTTCTCCTCCTTCTGCTCCGAGCCACGTCGTAGGCACCCAATGGATGGCCCCCAGGCCCGTCAGAGTCTTCCGTGAGGAACAGCGGGACTGAACCTACACGGTGCTTTTCGTTCTCGCTTTGGTGTTTTGTTCTCCCTCGGTGTGTCTTCCCTCCGCCTTCAACCGCAGAGCGACATCCAAACGACAACGGCCCACGAAATCGCCCAGACACCGTCGAGGTCCACCCCCGGTTGCACAGGGTGGCGTGCTCCGAGGGGCCCCACGCCTCGAGCCCGGCGGGCTTGCGGGGCGCTCTCCGGGGCGCTCCCCTGCGCACCTCGCCGGACGCTCACCGCCGCGCCTCGCCAGAACGTTCCGGGGGAGCGCGGGTCGGCAGGAGGGAGCGGGGAGCGAGGAAGAGGCGAGGAGGGAGCGACGAGGAGGAGAGCAGGAGGGGGAGAAGGAGGAGGAGGAGGAGGAGGAGGAGGAGGAGGAGGAGGAGGAGGACGTGCACCACGATGGTCACGGGCGCGCGTGCCGGGCCTCCCTTGCTGGTCTCCTGGGCCGCTCTGGGGCACCTCTGGGCGTTCGTCGCCGCGCCTTGCCAGAAGTCTCCGGGGAGCACGCGTCGGCCTCCGGACGTGCACCACGATGGTCACGGGCGCGCGTGCCGGGCCTCTCTTGCTAGTCTCCTGGGCCGCCTTGGAGGTCCTGGGGCCACAACCCAAGGCGTCCAGAGCAATGGAAGCCCTTCAGGACTCTGCACTGGCGGAGGGGAAGATAAGACATTGCCCAGCAACACAGCGAGCGGCCTCCCCGGTGCGGCTCGGAGTGATGCTGCACGTCGGGGTGGTGCTTCTGGGCTCGCCCGAGCTGTGATGCTCGTCGGAATCATGCTGCTCGTCAGCGCGGGAACTCGTGGCGGCGCGTGGCTGCCCGTCGCCGTCGGGGCGCTGCCGACACGGCGGTGTCTCTGTGTCCGCCAGCGCGGTGGTACTGGCGTTAGGTCTGGCATGTCCTCCCACAGGCGGATTCTGGAAGAAGCATAAAACAGCGTCAACAGAGAACCAACACGTAATCAACAAAGCACGGCAGATCTTCACCAGGCTATGTTTACTGCGCTTGAATACCCCTCTTGTGGAGGGACATGCCCGACTCAAAACTAATGGCGGCGCTTTGCTGCCCGTCGTCGTCGGCGTGCTGCCGACACGGCGGTGTCACCGTGTCCACCAGCGCGGTGGTACTGGCGTCGCGTGCCCGCCTTTTCGATCTTACAGTAGGAGCTCGGCCATAAGAAACCTTGCACAAGAAACCAAACCCCAGAAACCAGGGACGCCCATTGATTTTTAGGTGTGGGTACGTCACGCTTTCTACAGCAACACACTCGTAGCCCAAGAAACCCAGGGCACCCTGGAAGCAAGCAGGGCGTTTCGTGACACGGGTTTCCACTGCGTTGGCGTCGCAGGCGCGCCACTCTTGATCTTAAGGGCTCTCCAGGGGAGAGCCCAGGATCCCCCCGAAAAGACGGCCCGAGAAGAGGGCCCCCACCCACCGTTCCCCGAAGGGGCCCAGCGGGTGCCCAGGAAGCCCCCCAAGAGGGGGAACTCTGATGACTGAAGTTCGGACCGCCCCTCTCTCCAAAGAGAAGGGGCACTTTCGCAAATCGACTGGCCATTTGTAATCCTTGTCCGTAGATCTGACGAGACAAATAATTCTGAGATGCTCAATTCTGCAGTCGATCCCCAATGCGACTTACCGATCTTAAGAGCGCCCCCGGGAGAGCCCAGGATCCCCGCCCAGAATCTGCCCGACAAGAAGGCCGCCACCGTTCCCAGAAGGAGGCCTCTAACGGGTGCCCAGAAAAAAATACACCCCAAGAGAGGGAACTCTGATGACTCTGAGGGGAGATCGACTACAGAATTGATTTGCCCGAAATTGAATTTTCTCGTCGAGGTTACGGAACATACGTACAATATACACACATATCTATATATATACACACTGTACATTCTACGTATTTGTAATGGCTTCGACGAACACCTCAATTTCGGGGTAAATCAATTCTGTGGTCGACACCTACTCGACTGACTGAAACTTGGACTGCCCCTCTCCATGTAGAGCCCCTGAGACCGTCAGCGTGCCCGCCGGACGCACCACTGACGCCGCTAAATGCCTCCGAGAACCCCCCCAAGCGTCAAGAGGCTGCGGGCAAAAAAACCCTGGGAGGCCTTCCAAGAGACCACAAGAAGAGGCTCCAAGGAGGAATCTTGCAGGACCGAGCACGGCGGCTGGTTGGGCCGAAGACCATCAAGTAATCCCTCCTTGTCGCACCTCCGGAGGTGTCGGTAAGACTGGTCCGACGAAGCGCCTGAGACCCCCTTCACAACTCTTGGTCCTGAACCTGGACCTTTCCGATAGCCGATAGCTGCAGAAATAGACGGCGGGCCATTTTCAAACGTGGATCCCACGTCAGCGCCGGGCACGTGGGTCGCACAAACTTCTGACAGCTACTCGGATGAAGACTAGCTGCCTTCAACATGCAAGCCTCGCCGCAATGCCGCGCATGATCGGCTTGAACTTGCACAACAATTACACAATAGGGGCGTCCCGCTTCCAAGATGGTGGTGCACTCGTTCGGGACTTTCGCACCACGCAGGACCGGACGTCTATGAGTGCGCTGCATCTGCACGAAAGCACAGAGCCTCATGCTCAGAGGAGCCTCTCGCTTGACAACCCCACCGTGTTCACGACCCGAACGCACTGAGCTGCGCAACTGCTGCATGCACGGGGGGGGGGGGTGTCCAAGCTCCCCGTGGTAGTGCTTTAGTCCGCATGGCAGGCCCATGGACCACTCGTCTTTCAATGAGGCGCCTCCGGCATTCAGCAGAAATGCTCGCAGGGACGTGCGAGGAAAGGGCCTTGGACGGCGGGGCGTGCTGCAACATTGCTGACGCATGGAAGGCTCACGATAGCCTTCCGCCTGGCACGTCCGACGTCGGTACACCAAACAAGGGTACGATGCTCAAGTGCAGATGTTGTCCGAAACAATGCTGTCTGTCGACGTTCCAATTCTTTCCGTACCCTTCTCGATCGTACGGGTCCTCCTTCCCTCCTCCTCCTCCTCCTCCTCCTTCTCCTCCTCCTCCTCCTCTTCCTCCTCCTCCTCCTCCTCCTCCTCCTCCTCACGTCCGCTTGTGATTGACAAATCCGTGGGGGGCGCGCGTTTAAACAATTAGTTCCCCTGCTCAGGCGAATTGCGGGATGGCGCCCGCCAAATTGAAATTCAACGGGGCGGCGCCGGTAACTAGCGCCGAACCCCGGCCGCAAACCAGAAGGCGACAGACAGCACACACTGGGGGAAGCGAGGAGGGCGGGAGGCAAAGGTGGCAGAAGCAGGGACCGAGAGCCAGGGCGACACCTGTTTGAAATGAAGAAGAACTGCTGTCGGCGCTCGCCCCCACACTTTCCGTACTCTTTTCTGTCGAACCGCTGCGCTTCCTTTGCCCTGGCCGCAGCCAAGGGGGCGCCAGCTGCCTCGCGGGCCCGCGAGCAAGGCGGGCTGGACGAAAGGGGGCGCGGCCAAAAGGGGATTTGCCAAGCAGCTCACATTGCTGATTTTCCGAGCGCCCCCTGGCGCGGAAAGAGGCGCACACGGGGGGGCGACCGAAACTTGCAGCGCGCAGCAGGTTTCGCAACCGTCCCTTTTCTTCCCCAACCTTTCGTCCGACCCGGGCAAGCCGGGCAGACCTCCTCCCCCCCTCTGTCGTGGTCTCTGTAGTCGACGACGACGACGACGACGACGACGACGACGACGATGGGACGAGGACGAGGACGACGGCGGACGGCGGACGGCGGACGGCCGACGGCGATGGCGGCGACGACGTCGCACTTCGGATGCCCTATGGGAGAGGGGGGGTGCTGCGCAGGCACTGAAGTAGTCGAAGACGACGACGGCAAACACGACGAAGAAGAAAAGAAGACGACGACGACAACGCCTGAGAAGGGTAAACGAATTTGTCTCGGATGTGTACGACCCCTATAACAACTGCTATACGAAAGGCAACCATTTTGAGTTTGTCACGCAGGGGAGTACACGATTCCCTCGGCAGTGCCAACGACGACCCCCTGGCGCGCGTTATTAAAAAAAAAAGTTTCGCGCCCCGTGGGGTCTATTCATCAGCCCCGGGGGGGGGGTCTGGTCATTTGTAAAACACAAGCTGACATTACTCCTCCTCCTCCTCCTCCTCCTCCTCCTCCTCCTCCTTCGTCTCTTCATGGCTCTCATGTGCCGGCCGGCTCGGTGAGCTCCTCCATGTTCCCTCCGAACTCCCGCCAGGGGAACCGTCGCAGCCGACGTCGTCATTGTCGCCCTCGGCCTCCTTGTAGCCGACGCAGGGAATGTGCTCGAATCGCCTCTCAGCCACTCCTTCCTCCCAACTTGATTCTGCTCCTCCTCATGCTCCCAGTCCACCTCCTCCTCTTCCTCCTCCTCCTCCCAGTCCTCCTCCTCCTCCTCCTCATCATCATCGTCATCATCATCATCATCATCATCATCATCATCATCATCATCATCACCATCATCAGCATCACCATCACCATGACCATCACCATCACCATCATCATCATCATCATCATCATCATCATCAGCAGCAGCAGCAGCAGCATCATCATCATCATCATCATCATCATCATCCTCATCCTCATCCTCATCATCCTCATCATGATCCTCATCATCATCCTCCTTCTCTCTTTCTGAAGACAAGCTTGAACGCTTGGCCTTCCTTCGATGCTTCCGAAAAAATCTCAAGAGACACCCGTGACGTCTGGACACCTCTGGAAGCCCACGGACACACATCGCGACCCCCCCCGACGAGAGTGCGGACGCCGCCCACACTTTGCAAGAGCAGGTGGGGTCGGAGGATCGCGGGTCGTTTTACCAGCCTCGAACGTATCCCTATCCTTAAGATTGACACGCCAAAAGGCGATGACAATCTTAGGGATTCGCCCTCAAAAAATAAGGGAATCCCTAAGATTGGCATCGTGATGAGGAGATGCCCAGCATAGGGATAGGGATATGTTCCAGGCTGGTAATCGTCGCCAACGAAAGATGCGCACGCTTGGTTGTCAATGTTGCATCGTTCACAACTGATGGGGTTAGCCAAGGGGGATAGCTCGGGGGATCATGCCGAAATCGGCAATACATCCCCGATAGATCGGCAAAGGGCCTGCAAAAGTGCATGTGTACTTTCCTGATTGGGGTGGGCAATCGGGCCGCCATTGGCGCGATTGGAAATACAGCTGAGCCATAGCCAGAAGAATGCGGGTCAAGAGCATGAGCCCCTTCACCGGAAGTCCAGGGCCTCATGAACATGCCTCAGACGAAAATCATTACAAAGTGGAGAACCATGGAACCCCGAAGGATCCCCAAGGAGCCTCACAGAGCCCCAGGAAGCCCCAGGAAACTCCAGCGAACCCCCGGAAGCCACAGGGAGCCCCAGGAACCGTCAGGAAACTCCAGGAAGCCCCAGCGATCCCCAAGAAACCGCAGGAGGCCGCAGGAAGCCCCAGGGAATGCCAGAAAGACATAGGAAACTCTAGGAAGCCCTACGGAGCTTCAAGGAGCCCCAAGAGGCCCCCATGGAGCCTGAGGGAGCCTTAGGGAGCCCCAAGAAGCATCAGGAGGCCCCAGAAGCCTTCTCAACATCAGGCGCCGGGGAGCCCCAAGGAGCCCCGAGGAATCAGAGGAGGCCCCCAGAATCCCCTTGAGACCTCTCCTTCCTCCTGTCTTCCTCCATTACCCATCCTTTAAGTCGGGCCTGTCTCCATACAGGGGGGTTTTGGACGAATAACTAAAAATAGTAAAATAGATACTCCAAAAATAATAATAATACTAATAATAAAGCAAACAATGGTCCCCAGACTACTGTTTGGCTATTTTTGAAAATACCTATTGTAGAAAACCATCCTATCTCTCTTCCTCCTATGGGGGAGGGGATTGGGCACGAGAGGTTCTCACAAGAGGCGCTGAGAGAATGTGTAGTCTCGGGCGTCAGCTCCTCACGTCCTCTGCAGGATGATGCGGGACATCCTCTGCCTCGTCTCCCTGCTTCCCTGCCGTTGCTGCTCTTCCTCCTCCCCCAACTCCTACCAACCCTTCTGCTCCTGTTTTTGCTTCTCCCCACGCATCCTCATGCTTCTTCGCGCTTCCTTGCTTCTGCTGCTCCTTTTCCTCCTCCTCCTCCTCCTCCGCCTCCTCCTCCTTCTCCTTCTCGAGATACGTATCGTCTCGCCCCCTTCCTCGACTCCATCTTCGTCCCTCTCTCCTGTCACCCGCCGATCTGATGTTTCAATCCGCGCCCATCCAACCCTTTGCCCGGGGACAGATTTTTGCACTGGTGCAACAAAAATATACCCGGGGCCCGAAAGCGGGCCCTGGAAGGCAGAATCGAAAAAAAAAGCCCGGATCAAAAACCCTATCGTCGGAGATTTGGGCCCCCCTCTCCCTCCTTGCTCCCCTGGCTCCTCCTCCTGCTCCGCCTCTGCCTCCTCCTCCTCCTCCTCCTCCTCCTCCTCCTCCTCCTCCTCCAGCAGGAACCGCGAGCCAGCTACCCATACGGGCATCATCGCGGGCGAAGATGGCCCGCGAGCGCGCGACGCCTGATGAAGTCGATCCGGTCGGGCAGCGCCGGCAGCATCGCCAGGGCGGCGGCGGACGCCGGCCTCCGCGTGGCCGTGGGCGTTGGACCGGACCAGGTCTGACGAGAGCATTGGAAGGGGAGGGTACCATCCCGGCCCCCTTCGCGTCGTGAGGAAGCCCGGGGGGGGGGGGGTTGCCGATGTTCGCCCCCTGCGGCCCCGGACCAGGCCCTGGGGCCGTCGAACAAGGACCCCGGTATGAGAAGCCCGTCCTGGGGAAGGGGTCCAGACTTTCGCTGACCAGGCCCTGGGGCCGTCGAACAAGGACCCCGGTATGAGAAGCCCGTCCTGGGGAAGGGGTCCAGACTTTCGCTGCCCTCTCCCGCGGACTCATCTAAATTGTAGGTTGCGCGGCTTGGTCACTGGCTACAATGTGATTACGCTATAACCGACTTCGAACTAAGGTGCGCAATGGTAGTTCTACGAGGAAAACATATGTAACAAACGGTTAAAAATTCGGCCGCGAATGAACTACCACTGCATGGATGGTTCGGGGCCGTATTAAGAATTATGCAATCGAGCAATAGCCGCGCTAACGATACAAGCACTTGGTGTATGGTGCATCCGTTATGACGAGTTTGCGCGATCTGCCTGGTAATCCGTACCCTACAAAAAATTGAAGCGTGTACGTAGAATTGCTTCCGCGCGGCAACTGGATAATAATGATGGGATCGTTGGGGAGGGCCTCCTGACACGTCAAGTTTGCTTTCCAGGGGAATTCATTACAATTGGCAAGGGCTTTAGAGCAAGTAGGACCAGGCGGTAAGCGCTCAATCCCACCAGCCCTCTGGGCGTAGGGTGTCGAAGGAGTTTCCTCTTCCACCCCCCTTTCTTTCCCCTCGGGGAGGGGTTTACCTCTCCCCCTGCCCCTCCCCAGAACCTGGACGGGGGGGGTCGCGACGCGCTGGGGCGTCAGAAACGGCCTCTGCGAGGAAACCGAAATCATTGGTTTTGTTCTGGTATTGGGTACATGTTGGCCTCTTGGGGGGGGAGGCTGAAAAAAACCCTCGTCCTTGATCGATCTCCTCTAAGATGGCCCCGCGAGCGCCCCTAAAGCTCCCAAGGGCGCCCCAAGAGGGCCCCAAGGGGCGCCCAGACAGCCCCAAGAGACCTCCAAGAGGCTCCCAAGAGACCCCAAAGAGGCCCCACAGGGCTTCAAGAGGATCCACGAGGCACCCAAGATGCCCGCCAAACGCTCCAACAGCCCCCCCCGAGGCACCCAAGACGCGCAAGAGCCCCCCAGGACCGCCAAAAGACCCCAAGACGTCCCAAAAGGCCACCAAGAAACGCACAAGCGATACCCCAAGAGGCTCTGAAAACAAAAACCATTCAAGGGACCTCTGGCCCTTTTGCTCACCCTCCTCCTCCTGCCCCTCCTTCCTCCTGTTCCTCATCTCCCTCCTCCTCCGCCGCCTCCTCATCATCATCAGCATCACCACCACCAGCCCCACTCCCACCATCATCATCATCATCATCATCATCATCATCGCAATCATCATCAACAGCAACAACACCATGAGCATCATCATTACCATCGTCATCAACATCATGATCATCAGCATTATAATTAGCATCATCATCATCACCATCACCACCATCATCATCAGCAGCAGCATGTTCATATATCTTCTTCCCACCCCCTCATCCATCCATCCGACCTCCTTCTTCTACTCCTCCCTCCTTCGCACGGTTCGGCTGTCCACCTCTTTGCCCCCGCACTTCCATGATCACCTCAACTCGCCGGATGGGCAAGTGGGAATACTTTTTCGGTCGCGAGCGCAGGCGGTACAGCCGCGTGCCGTCAGAACGAAACAACAATGCAACGGCCGAATTTACGCCCCGGAACCACACAGTTGGTGGGGATAGTTGTTGGTCTGCGGGCTCGCGAAGCAAGTCGAAAACCGTCTGATCACTAGCCGGGCCGCGACAAGGCAGCAAGAAAAGAGAGGGGCAAGCGAAGCGAGCGCGCGGGCAGCCACTCAGAAGGAGCACCAAGAGCGGCACTCCCAACCCGGTGGCGTGGAAATCCCGGTGACGACCATCAAGTAGGCGCAGCCAAAATGGCGCGGCGGCGCGACCATGAACACGCAGAGGTCGATCGCCCGGCGTGAGTCGGCATAGGGCCCGACAAAAACGAGCAGGTCCGACAGGCACTCCAGGGCGACATCCGTGCCGTAGGTGACACAACAGCATCGTGTCGGCGCCTGAGTGAAGAGGGGGCAGCCTCGTCACAGACAGGACTGCAAAAGGCAGATCCTCTTGTAAGTACACCCGGTGGCACAGGTCGAAAGCGAAGTCCATGTAGGAGAAAGCAGCCGACGGGCGCCCAGAGCCACACATGCCGAAATCCTTGCACCCTGCTGATGGGGATACGCGAAGCGCCTAAAAGTTCGCAAAAAAAGGGTTCCCGCGCTTTCTCTTTCGTCGCTTTCGCTTGCTCACGAGTGCGTTTCGCCGGGCGCCGCGGAGCGTCGGAGTGGCATCTATGGCGTGTGGGTTATTTACCCTTTGGCGCATGATGTCGTATCCGTGCCATTTCGCCCTTTCCCCCCCCTCGTCTCCTGTCTCCCTGCTTTGCGCCGTGGCGCAGCGTCGATGATCATTCAGGTGATCTGTGCGATGCGGGGCATCGTATCCAGAGCGCGCCGCGCAGTTTTGCCGCCACCTCCCCCTGCCCTTCCCCCCCCCCTTGCCCCGTTGTCGGTGATCGGGCGTCTGGGCGGGAGGCGTGGGTTGGAAGCGCTTTCGCGGCCAACTTGGCGACCAAGTCGTGGTTTCTTCCCTCGCCTTTTCGGTGCTCGGCGGTGTTTTTGCACGACGGTGTGTATGTCATTGTGCTGATCGGCATGCGAGACGATGCTCATGTTTCACATGCGTAGTTCTCAAACATTAGCGGTGGGTTTTGAAACTTGCCTGCGTTGTTTGGCCCAAACCGCTCGAACCGCTCATCGGGCCGGAGCGCGTGCTCTTCTGTTCCTGCCAACGCGGTCCGAACGCAAAGGTGGGCGTTCAGGTTTGGTGGCGGGACTGGGGCTGGCGATTGCGACAGCGCTGGCGATTGCGCGGCGTGCACGCAGCGAATTAGACGCTCAGGAATCATTTGCACATGCTTGAACCTTCGCGCATCCCCACCAGCCCATCCAGAAACGACGTCGAGGCGAGTGGCTGGGGGAAGGGGGCCAGAGAAGCACATAGTGAAACATGGGGGCAAGAAGGGTGAACTCTGAGATCCCGCGGTGCTTCCAGGGGCTCTCTGGGGAGGGGGGTCGCGGCTGTCGCGGTGGAGGGGACGAACGGGCAGTGGAACGGCGGGATGCGGGAGGGGGGCGGGCGGGGGGGGTGGAAAGGGGGGGGTCAGGGGAGCTGGGGCGGGGGGGTGGAGGGAGGCGTGGATGCCTTGACACCTCGCGAGACCCCCCGCTCAGAACCCAGGGTTAGGTCGGGCGTGTCCACCTACAGGGGGATCATCGATGGAAACAAAAATACTTAGCAAATATTCCCACATTGTCCAAACATGCCAAACAAAACTCCCCAGACTATGTTTTGACTATTTTTGGATACACCCCCTGTAGAGGGACAGGCCCGACTGAACCCCAGGGGAGGGAGCAGGTGGAGGGGCGACATCCCCCCCTGAAAGGGGAGAAGTCTCGGGGGCGAGAGACGAGATCGGCAACCCGGCATACGCCCTGTGGTCGCCCAAGGATGCGAAGGTCCGATGCCCGGTACGGCCCCCCGCACATTGTCCGAGGCGGGAATGTATCCACATCCACCGCTTCGAGGGTCAGTTTTCGGAGCCTCGGCAGGCGTTGGATATAGGCATATTCGGGCCCCCGGGGGCCGAACTATATCCATTTCCACTGCCCGCTGGGGCACCAGGACGTCGGTTCCCAGGCGGTGGATATGGATGAATCCCCGCCTCGCAACTTGGGCCACCAGGGGCCCGCGCTTCCATCCGAAATCGTCCCTGCTTCAATATGAAGTTCGTCCTTTTTCTCCATCTGAAACCGCCCCTTGTTCAAGTCCACGGTGTTCTTTCTTGACGTGTGAGGTCGTGCTGGGGGACTTGAGAGAGGGGGGTCCTCAATGTGAAGTCGGCCCTTCCCCAGGCTGAAAACGTCGGTCTGGGGGCGCCGAGATGTCAGGCCCGAGTGTCGGTGCCAAGGCCCCCGCAGAGGCAAGGCAGACGAGGGGGCTGCTGTCCGCGTGCGCGGCGGCGCGTCTTCGGAGGCACTGCGCCAAATTCCGTGGTGCATCGGCCTTCGCAGCCCGCCCGCCCCCCTGGACTTCCCGCTTCGGGCCTGAACCGGGGGTTGCTTGCTTCCCTCTCCCTCCCGTGCCCCTATTCCTGCTTCTCCCCCTTCCCCTCCCTTCCCCCTCCCCCCAATCCTCCTGCTCTTCTCCCCCCATCCCCTTCTCAGATCCAAAATCCCTCGCCTTCTGATCCGTTTCTCCTGCTCCTCCCCCGCCTCCGTCCTTCTGCTTCTGCTGTCGTTGCTCGTCGTTGCTGAGCGCAAATCCCTGCGCGTCTGCTTCGCCGGAATTGGCCAGAACAGGCGCACCCGCGGGTCGAATTCCCACGTGGGCGCAGGTGCGGCTGATGCTACACCAGGCCCCGTGTGTGTCAATCATGCCACCGTGCGTTGACTAGGGCCTAGGCCTGCATTCGCGTCGAATGATTTCATGGTGCACTCGAACTCGGGAGGCTGAGATCAAAGCAGGTTCGGCGCAGGTACCCTGAGTATCCCCATGCCCAGCGGCGTGGCCTGGGCCCCACTGGCTGATTTACACCCCTAGATGGGGATATGGGCCGTATCCTTCGGGTTTCGACGGGTGTATCCCCAACTGGGGGGGGGGTATGTAATCTGGTGGGGGTCTCGAAGGGGATGGGGATGGAGATGGGGACTGGTGAAATGATACCGATACGCAGTAACTGATGGGGCCAGGGCGGTTTGAAGACGCGTGCCGCCAATGCGGAATAATCCTACCGCGCGCGTGCGGGCGTTCAGGGGAGGGCGGCTCTCGACCAACGTCCGGCGGCGCGCCGCGTGCAGCAAGTCATGGCGGCCGCCGCCGTGCCAACCGCAGCAACCACCCCTCATGGACACATGCGCCTACCACCCAGGCAACGGCGCGCGCCGCCGCCCACGGGGAAACGTGAGCCTTCACTTCAGGAGCAAACTTGAACGATACCTGGCAAAACGGAAGGCCACCTCAGCAAAGATGCGGATCACGCCGTGGCCCAGTGTGGGGCATCTACCGCTTTAAGCGAACGCGGCGCTGCTGATTGTCCATGGTGCTACACGGGGGCGTAACCCATGTGCACTCGCAACGGCCACCCAAACTGCGACCATCACCCACAACCGCGGATGCTTCAACAACGGCGTTCAACCTGGCAACCGCACCAACCGGCCATCTCCCACGGTGCACGGCCGCTTGCGCCCGAAACGGAGCAGTGGCTACCACGCAAGATCGAACGGTGGCCGCAGCCCGCGAGGCGACAGCATCCAACGCTTCGTCGACGCGGTGACCTCACGACGCCAGCCTGGGCACACAGAGGGGCAGTATCGCATCCACGGGTAGCAAGCACGAGGCGTTTGAACCCCCGGTGAGATTTCCTGGATCTTGGGCGGCTCCCTGGCGCCACGGCTGAATCCTCCTCGAGATCCCGCGGAGGAACTCGGGCGCGTCTCTTCCCGACGGCGACGAGCGGAGGCCTGGGGGGGGGGGCGAGGCAGAGGGGCAAAGTGGCGCGGAAGAGGGAAAGGGAAGGAGGACGAAGCTGAGGGGGTCCTGGGACACACAGATAAATAGACACACATAACAGAATTCCCCATGTTTTCCATCTTTTCTGGGTTTTTGTCTTCCCCCCACTTCCCACATTTCTCCATATTCTGGGGGATCGACGATTCATTATGTCTGTGTGTTGTTTGCCCTCCTGAGAAGCGAAGCGGGCCGGGCAGGATCGAGAGCAGGAGCTGGAGGAGGAGGCGGCTGAGAGGCAGGGGCGGAGGCAAGGGAAGGCGGAGCGGAGGCGAGACGGTGGGGCGGTACAGGGAAGCGCGGCCCACGCGAACTGCTCCGAGGGCAGCAGAGGTGAAGAGATGGGTCGAAGTTCGGGCTGGGCGAAAGGGGGGGAATGCAAAGGGGGAGGTTGAGAATCACCACACGTAGCCGATTTTCCCGGCGCCTCCCAGCGCCGGAGGCGGCCATGTATCGAAGAACGGGCCCCTCGGTGGGGCCGAAACCAGCTGCACGCAGCAGATTTCGTAACCCCCCCCTTTCGTCCGGCCCGAGAGGTGTGCGAGAGAAGCACAGCCGGGGAGCCCTGAGAAAGAGAAGATGCAGCCGGGACAAGGGTGGGACCGCGGTCAGGTGCACCTTGGATGTGGTTTGCCGGGTGTCGTGGCGGTCGGGACCAAAACTGCAGCCTCCATGGAGGCGAGAGCACGCTTCCCGAGCAAAACTGGGGAAGGCTCAAGCCAAACGGCCACCAGGCCAGGAGCCCTCGGGCTCCACGAAACACCTCCCACAAGAAACCCAACCCGGAGACCCCAGGACGTCCATCCACTTCTGCTATGGGAACGCCGCGCTGTCCATCGCGAAATCATCGAAACCCAAGAAACCCTGGGCACCCTGGGGGCAAGCAGGGTGTTTCCTGGCACGGGCCTACACCGTACTGCACGAACCCACCTGCGAAACACTTTTTCTGATCCGCGGGTCGAGAGCGCACCTCTCCCGGTCGGAAGCTGAGCGGGCCGCGCGAAGCTTGCACTAACAAAGAGTGGGGGACAGAAGGAGAGGCCCCACCTGCGAAAAACACGCCTCTGGAAAAATGGAGGATGACGATTGATAAATGACCAGGGGTCGTGTTCACGCGGCGGCGCCCGGGATGACGATTAGAAAAAACCGGCCGCGGGCTGGAAAACTATTTCTTTTAATCGTTCTCTTCCAATCAGAACACTGTGCAGAAATAGCAGAAAACCATGTTTTTTAATCGTTGTCTCCCATTTTTTTAATTAATCGTCATCCTGCACTAAGACAAGCCAGTCGGAGCCCTCCCCCTCGGGCGGGCGGCGCAGGGCCCCAGGGCCGCCATCGCCGGCTTCGCCGGCGCGGAGGGCTCCGGGTGCGGGGGCGCCAGCGCGGCCACGTCCGGCTCCTGCAGCGCGGGGGCTGCAGGGCGGCGGCGTCGTCGGCGTGGGCGTCGGCGCCGTGGCTTCGGCGTCCTCGTCACCGTGTTCGCGCCGTGCGCTGTGGGCCCCCCGGGGCTGGCCCCCGGAGGCCGCCCAGTCAAGAGCGCCCGCGCCAACGTCGCCATCGCTGCCGTGTTGGAGGCGGACAAGCGGGGGCTGAGGGGCCCGAGGAGAAAAGAAAGGGGCTCAGGGGGGAAGCAAGGACCATCCTGCATCCTCCTCCCTCCGACCTCCGTCCTCGCTGATCCTCCATACCCGTCCTTCTCATCCCACCATCCTCTGTTCTTGCCCTTCCTCCCAAACCTTCCTCCTTTCTAACACCTTGGTCATCCATCCACTCTCCACCATCCATCCTTATCCATCCCCAGCCGTCCCTGCACCCTCGCACCTCCTTCCTGCAGGCGGTCTCGCGAGCAGCTCTGTTGTGGATCGAGGGGGTGGCGGAGATTCTTCTCGGGAGGCGCGAGGGGGGGCACGCTTCTGAGAAGGTGGCGGCGCTTCTGAGAAGGCAAGGGGGGCTCCTCAGAAGCCCGCCCAGCCTCCAAACACCTTCTTAGAAGCCTCTGGGGCCTTCTGAAGAGACCCTCTCCTTCTAATGTTCAGTCGAGCATCTCCCCCATAAAAAACTCAAAAATAGTCAACAAAATAATCCAAAAATAGTCTGGGGACTATCTTTGGTGTATGTTTTGACCTTTGTGGTGTATTTTGGTGTATTTTCCACTTTTCGTCGAACATCCCCCTGTAGGGGGACACGCCCGACATCATTCGAATGAAGAAATCCCATCCGCCTTCTCAGCAGGCAGCCCCCCTCGCACCACCCCGCAGCGGGCGCCGCCAAAGCACACAATCGTAGCCCGTCCGAGGCAAAATTCCCCGTCTCAGGGATGGACAGACCTCCCTTTAGTAAAATGTGGTTTAGTGACAACGACCTGAGGCCCAAACCTGGCGGGCGCAAGCCTGGAAAATAACGGCCACGGCGCCCTCTCGAGAACCGAAACCGGACAATTCACTAATCGACGTGTCACTGTTGGGGGTTTCTGTCCACCTCCGACCGTCCTTCTCCCTCCCGCCCGCCGGCGCACAGAGGGCCCGCCCGAGAAGACTGCGCACGATGTGCAACAGCCCTCGGGGGGGGGCGAGGGGCCTTGTGTCGTGGGCCTGGTGTGCAAGATCCCCTCCCGGGGGCGTGGTTTTCGCACAGCCGGACTTGATTGGAGAGGAGACACGCGAGAGGACACAAGACCCTTCCGAGGGCCACATCGCCGTAGGAGTGTGAGAAGGCACGTATCGCGAGGCACAGGACACAAGGGTACCCGTGAGATGGCAGGGTCGACCTACTAATCCGGGCCGCCTGTATGCCGAACGTGGCCCCGTGGGGTGGAGTCTGACTGGGGTAGGCAGGGTGTGGCATACAGTGGGGGCCAGACGACAAGAAACCTTCCACAAGAAACCCAACCCTGAGACCCCAGGACGTCCATTGGTTTCTGGTGTGGGAGCGTCACGCTTTCCATCGCGAAACCATCGAAACCATCGAAACCCAGGGCACCGAAACACCCTGCTTGCCTCGAGGGTGCCCAAGGTTTCTTGGGTTTCAATGCTTCTACGATGGAAAACGTCACGTTCCCCACACCAAAAACGAATAGACGTCCTGGGGCTTCATGGACGTCCTGGGGTCTCAGGTATGGGTTTATTGTGGAAGGTTTCTTGTGGACTGGCCTCCCCTGTAGAAAAACAAATTACACCAGAAAAAAAAAACAATCAGTGGATGGTTTTCGCTGAGGAGATCGACCGGGAACCCGGGAGCCCGGGACCCCAAAACCCACCGAAATCGGCCCGGAACCAACAACCAGGAACCCGAGCACCCAGAACAGGGAACCCAGGCACCCAACCTGCTATCAAAACCGGCGGGAAACTTTCGCCTAATATTTCCACTCCCGCTAGGACCGTCGCGCGGACGTCCGTCTCCCGTGCATTTTGTTCGGTTTCGGGCGTGTGTCTTGTTTGCTCGATGGTCCAGGATGGTCCTCGATGGTCCTCGCCGAGAAAAATGCGCACGTCCGAGCGACGCCACGCCTTCGGTGCAAGCACTGACTACCAGCCTGGAACATATCCCTATCCCTATGCTGGGCATCTCCTCATCACGATGCCAATCTTAGGGATTCCCTTCTTTTTTGAGGGCGCATCCCTAAGATTGTCGTCGCTTCTTGGCGTGTCAATCTTAGGGATAGGGACACGTTCGAGGCTGGTAATCAAACTGCTGTGGAAACAAACGAGCTCGAGGAGAGAGCCGCGCGCTCCTCCGACGCCCCGCCCGCGCTGGCGGCGGCGGCGCCGGCGCCGCTGGGCCTGGCGGCGCCCGCCGCCTTGGCGGCGGCGCGCTCGGCGGAGGCCTCCTGCGGGCGGGGGGGGCGTCGCGGCGGGCAGGCACGGGGAGCGGGACCGCGGCGGGGGGGGGGGTCCTCGGAGGGGGCGGGCCATCCCGACCCCCTTCGGGCTGTGAAGTGCTCGACCGATGGGGAGCGGTGTCCTGCGCCCGCGGCGCGCGAGGACCTGGGCGCGGCCTCCTTTGCGCCCCTTTTCGACAAGTCGCCAACAGGAGCCAGAGGAGCTCCGGCGCAGGCTGGAGCTGTTGATCTGGCCGGCCAGGGCGGACAGTGAGACAACTTTGGGCTGGTTGGGCAGAGGTTGCGAAAGATCTGCAACTTCGTTTTTAAAAACATGTTTGTTTCTCACGTGTAGTAGGTTATGCCGCGCTTGCCAGTGCAATACCTCGTAGAGCTCTTCGACATCGATGCTGATGGTGTTCGCCGACTGCCACACCGCGTCGAATGCACCGGATACAAACACGGCGGGAGGCCTTCCGCTCTCTCCGGCCCTCGGGGGGGCCCACGCCGGGCCTCGGGGCCGCCCGGAAACGACGCAGGACGAGAAGCCAGTCCCGGGGAAGGGCGCCGACGTTGCAGTCGGGGCGTTGACCTCAAGGAGCCCTAAAGAACGAGGCCTTTGTTTGCATAGGTTAAACTTCGATTTCCCATCGAAGACCTGAGGAAATCCCAAGGCAAGCTGCGAAGCAATTAAGGAACACGGAGGCTCTCCCCAACGAAAAGGGTGCCTTCTTCAGCGCCCCGACCGTATGAAGAAACCATGACGTCGGGGGGAGCAGCGACGGGAAAAAAGTCGAGGCTCCACACCAAGATGCGTCAAACGTGTGGCGCGCTATCGGCGTGAAAGCCCTGCAACACGAGCCCTTGGGCACGGAAAGGAGGCGGGTCGGAAAGACGATCTCTGGTTGGGTGCTTGGGAGCCGCAGGCGTGTGCACCAGGCGTGCGGGCCGTCGCCCGGAACGCAGTGCACATGTCTTCTTGGGCGCCTCACGCTCGCGAACCCGCCCAGAGCAAGGTCCACTGCACCGCGCGCGAAGGCGATCGCGAACGCAACTTCCTGGCCGTGTCCTGCGGCCCCGGAATCGAAGGGGCCGTTTTCCCACCGTTTCCAGGAAATGTCCCTTGAAAATGGAAACGGCACAAAAACAGCGACTGGAAACAGCAAAAAACGGCTCCAAGACTGGAACCGGAGCCGGAACTGGTCAAAAAACGGCGACGGAACCGGTAAAAAAATGGCGTCGGAACCGCCAACAAAAACGGCAAAACGGAACCGGTAACAGAACGGCCCTGTCGTTTCCAGGGCCCACTAAGGTCCTGCTCCCCGGCTGGTAACCCGTACCCGCCGTCTGGCGGAGCGCCCGCCACGCACCCTCCTCGGCGCAGACGCCTCCCGGGCCCGCCGCGGGCCGCGGCGAGGACGGTGCAGGACGGCCGACCACCACGCCATCGGCCGTCCAAGCCGACGCCTCCCGAACTTAGTGGGCCCTGGAAACGACAGGGCCGTTTTTCTACCGGTTCCGTTTTGCCGTTTTTGTTGCCAGTTCGGACGCCGTTTTTGTACGGGTTCCGTCGCCGTTCTTTGACCGGTTCCGGCTCCGGTTCCGATCCTGGAGCCGTTTTGTTGCCGTTTCCGGTCGCCGTTTTTTTGCCGCTTCCATTTTCAAGGGACATTTGTTTGGAAACGGTGAAAAAACGGCCCTGCCGTTTCCGGGGCCCACAAAGCTCCCGAAGGCCCCGGTCCCATCGCAGACCTGTGATTACGTTCAGTCGGGGCGTTGACCTAAGGAAATTCTAAATGAGGAACGAGGCCTCTTTTCCCATAAGCTTAACTTAGATTTCCCATCGAACTCCTGAGCAAAACCAAAGGCGAACTGCAAAACAACTGAGGAACACGGAGCCCCTCCCCAACGAAAAGGGTTCCTTCTTCAGAGCCCCGTCTGTACGGCTGTCGCCGCCGAGCGGGCGGTGCGGCGAGCAGCCACCCACGGGCACAGTGCCCCCAAGAGTTGCCCAAGTCCGACACCGAGCGGACACGTCCGCAGCAACAACGTGCGCAGCTCGTCGTCTCGAGCGGACAACGTCCGCAGCAACAGCGACAGTGATTCAGGTTCGAACGGTCAGGCACTGCTGTCGCTCCTCGTCCCCGCTCTTTGGGTACCCACTCCGACCATACCGACTGGAGGACGGAAGGGCGCTTCTGTCCAGCAGCGTGTCGGAGAAGATGCACGGGACCCGTGAAGCGCGAAGCGCGCAATCGTCGAGGAGGTGGCAACTGGAGGGCTGCAGTGCCCCGAAGCAAGCGGAGTCGTGCAGGAGGACGTCGTAGCAGGCCCAGCCGATGTTCGGCGAGCAAGCGTAGAGGGAAGAGAAGAAGGTAGGAAGGGGGATGGAGGAGAAAGAGACATCATTGAATTTTTCAAAACAGACTACAGGGTTGGATGGCTTCCAGATGGAGGGTTGGTTTCGAGGGTCAGAGAGGCGCAAGCGGAGCGAGGCGAGGATTCGAGAGGACGAGAATGTTCAATGTGGCGCTGAAGAATGAGAGGGGGTCAGGGAGTTCTGAGGACATTGCAATTATGGAGGATGACGACCACGATCGTACGCGAGCTGCTTTGACACTCAAGGAGAGGATGCTGAGTTCTTGGAGATTTGATGGGGATGATGACTAAGACCGAAGATGACGGTTAGAACGAGGGACGAGCAGAAACATGAGCATGAGGACAAGCAGGAGAATCCGCAGCACGGCGGGCCAAGTGCTCCCCCTGCTGCTGCTCCGTACTGCATCCTCCCTCCTGCTGCCCACCCTGCTCCCGTTATCCTTCGGCTTCTCTGCAGCAGCTTCCTCGCAGCTCCCGTGCCCCTCCTTCGCTGCGCCCACGCGCTCCTTCCTCTCCGTCCCTCCACCCCAGAGCGAATGCTCGTCCTGCTGCTCCTTCTCCGCCGCGTTCAGTTCGGCGGTTTCCTCCCCATTGCCCGGAGGCTGGCGGGCAAAGGGGGTGCGCGTCCCGCCAGAGCAGGAATGCCATGGGAGGGAGAGGCCATGACAAAGCCAAGGTGATCAACATCGAATCGGGGAATCAGACCGGATTGGACGTCGGATCGGGCTGCATCGGCACGGCATCTACGTCGAATCGGATCGGATGGGCTGCGCCCAGATTCGCAACAACAGCAACAACAACACTCATGGTAATATTGATCGCTCCTATCTGCTCGCGTGTCACTCAACATGTGTATCCCAAACCCTCGGTACCCGCCCTGTTCGTCTTCGATCGTGCCCCCTTTGGAGGGGTAGATTCCTTCCTTGCCACGTGTAGTCGGAGAACCCCAGAACAGGAAAACGAAAGGGAACAGATAACGAGAGAGAACGAAGGGATCGGAGGAAGGGGGGGGGAAGAGAGGGGCAAGAGGGAGGGACGACGTTGATGTGTGCTGCGAGTTGCGATTCAGCGTGCGCCATAGATTGCGCCAGGCACTCCAGCACAGGTCAACAACAGGTTTCGCCATGGGCCGCGACATAAACAGCGCCATGCACCAACCCTTCACAAACAAAAACATCACAATATATCAAACCATATCGCGGATACCCCCACAGGGGGACGTACAGCATCGAACTGGAGTGGGAAACAAACTTCGTGGAACTCTGAGGAGAAGCAAGGGAATGCTGGGACAATGGAGCGGGGGGGATAATGGGAATGGCAACCGTGTGGGGATGTGCGCGAAGGCATCAGAAAGCCACGAAGGCTAGCGAGGAGACTACAGAGAGCAGGAGCGAGCAGGAGCCAGGCAGGGCAGAAAAGAAGCCACGAGGGGCAGCAACGGGGCCACGACGGGCAACAACGGCGCAAGCGCCGCGCTGGGCCCACGAGGGCAGCGACGGGGCCAGCTGCAACGGAGGGCACGGTGGTGCACGAGGGGCAGCGACGGGGCCACTGAGGGCAGCAACGAGGCCACGACGGGCAGCGAGGAGGCCACGAAGGGCGACAGCGGGGCCACGAAGGGCAGCAAAGGGGCCACGAAGGGCGCGGTCGAGCGGGGGGCACGAAGGGCATACGTATACGGGGCCACAGAAGGCAAGAACGGTGCCACCGAGGGCAGCAACGGGGCCACGAATGGACGCGAGGGGGCCACGAAGGACGCGAACGAGCGGGGGCACGAAGGGCATACGCATATGGGGCCACTAAGGGCAGCGACAGGGCCACTGAGGGCAGCAACGGGGCTACGAAAGGCGGCAGCGGGGCCACACAGGGCGACATCGGGGCCACGAAAGACAATAATGGGGCCACGAAGTGCGCGGGCGAGAGGGTGGGCACGAAAGGCATGCTTCTATGAGGCCACAAAGGTCAGCGACGGGGCCACTGGAGGCAGCAACGTGGCCATTAAGGGGAGCGAGGGGGGCCACAAAGGGCGACAGCGGGGCCACGAAGGGAAACACTGGGGCCACGAAGTGCGCGGGCGAGCGGGGGCAACGAATGGTATACATATATGGGGCCACACCAAAGACAGCGGCGGGGCCACTGGGGGCAACAACGTGGCCATTGAGGCCAGCGAGGGGGCCACGAAGGGCGACAGCGGGGCCACGAAGGGCAGCGAGGGGCATCGACGGCGGGCAAAAGTCAACGAGGGTCGACTGCGGGCCCCAACGGGCGGGTCGGGCGGGTGACCCAGACGGGCAGGTCGAGCAGGCGGGGCGATGAAGCGTGTTTCCTGCATGAACCGTCCGAAAATCTAAAGCGAAAGCGCTTTTCCCAAGTAAACCGTGGCGAAGTCCGAAGCTAGAGCGTGATCCCTGAGTGCCGAGGCGCGGCGTCCAAATAGATCGCGAGGAATTCCCACGCGAGGGCGCGACTCAGGAGTCCATGTCAAGGATGTCTCTCGCGAAAGCGCGGTTTCCCAATACGTTGTGGGGCAGTATCCGGCGGGAGCCTTTGTCAATGTTGTTGCAGTTCGGGGGGGCAGCAACACAGTTTGGTGACACCACGCTTTCCCTCATAAAAAAAACAAGTGCGAGCCCCAGAAGGGACTCCTTACTTGAACACACACACACACTGGTTACCCTGAAGGGGGGATCAACCATTCATTTTCCTGAGTAATGAAGGTTCAACAGCATCAACAACAATCATGTTGAGACAGTCGCTATTATCTTCACGAGTGCCACTCAACACGTATATCTCAAACCCTCAATACCAGCCATCTTCGTCTTCGATCGTACCCTCTCAAGGGTAAATCTTTCTTACCTGCATCGTGAATTTCGTGCAGCCCCTGAAGCAGGAGAAGAGAGGACGGATGGAAGGAAGGGACGCGGAGCGGGCGGGTTGCTGAATCGTGCGTCCTACATACATCGCGAGGACCTCTCGAGCGATAGCGCGATTTCCAAATAAATCCTGAGGAGATCCTCGGCGAAAGCGTGATTCCTCAGTGTCGAGGGCGCGGCGTCTGAATAAACTGCGTAGGAACCTCACGCGATAGCGCGATGACTGTAGACACTGTAAGGATGTCCCGCGCGAGAGCTCGATTTGGGGGATACATTGTGAGGAAATATCAGGCAGGAGCCGTTGTTGTTGTAAACCTGGGGCCAGGGGCACAGTTTGGTGATCCCTCACTTTCCCATGACAAAAATCACGGGTGCGGGCCCTGGGATAAGAATTTTGATTGAAAGGTCCAATGGGCACCGGAGGTGCGATCAACAATAATTGTTCTCTAGCCACGCGAGTTCAACAACTACAACAACTACAACAACAGTAACAACAGCAACAACAGCAGCAGCAGCAACAACACCAAACACACCAACAACAAAAGCAGCAACAACAACCATAATCATTTTAAGACTGTTCGCTCTGACTGGCACGATGTTCTTGCTTTATGTATACCCCAACCCTCGATACCCGCCCACTTCGTCTTCAATCGTATCCCCTTGGGGATCTATCTTTCTTACCTGCGACGTGTATTCCGAGCAGCCCCTGAGGCAGGGGAAGAGAGGACGGATAGAAGGACAGGACAAGGGGGAGGGAGAAGGATGGAGCACGAGAGCGACTAGGAGGAGGGGGTCTAAGATCAGAAAACACGTGGCAAAACCAGACGAGCAGACCGGGCGGGTCGACCCGACCAGAGGGGGTCCGGCAAGGAGGGCCCAAACGGCCAGGTCGAGCAGGCGGGTTGTTGAAGCGTGAGTCCTGCATGAGCCGCGAGGAAATCTCAGCTATATCCCCAAATCATTCGTCAGCAGATCCAGAGCGAGAGCACTCCTGAATGTCGAGGGCGCGGCGTCTGAATACAATGCGAGGAAGCCCCACGAAAGAGTACGACTCCTAAGTGAATTCTGAGGAAGTCTCTAACGAATGCGCGGCTTCTCAATACATTTTGAGGCGGTATCCGGCGGGAGCCGTTGTTGTTGTAGTTCGGGGGCCAGGGGCGAAGGTTAGAGGAGGAAAAGCTTCCCTGTATACAAAAGGGTGCGAACCCTGGGAAAAAAGGCGCTTCAATGGAAAAGGGCATACGTTACCGGAAGAGGGTAAATAATGTGTTCTTCAGTAGTGAAAATGCAGCAACAACAACAGCAGCAACAACAGCAACACCAATCACGACAACAGCGGCAGCAACAACAATAATAATCATTTTAAGACTGTTCGTTCTTACTGGCACGATTGTTTTGCTTTGTGTATACCCCAACCCTCGCTACCCGCCCACTTCGTCTTCGATTGCACCCCTTTTCTGGGGGAGTATCTTCCTTGTCGGCCACTGACTGAAGTGCGAGGAGGTCTCGAACGGGAGCGCCGTTCCTGAATTCGGGTGCCTCTGTGGCCAAGGGCTCTCGGAATACCGATGGAAAAATATCAAACGGGACTGCTTGTCGCCGTGTCTGGACCTCCACCAACTTGCCTGAATTATGAGAAAATGTCGAGCGATAGCGACGTTCCTGAATTCGGGGGCCTTTCTGGCCAGGGGCTCTCGGACAACAGAAAAAAACGCGAGGACGTATCCAGCAGGAGCCTTTGCCGCCATGGCTGGGCCTCCGCCAATTTGATTGAATAGCGAGGAAATCTCGAATGATAACGCCGTTCCTGTGCTCCGGGGCCACTGTGGCCAGGGCGTCCCGGGACAATTGCGAAGAAGTATCGGGCGGGAACCCTTTTCGCCATGGCTGGGCCTCCGCCAACTTGACTGAATTGCGAGGGGGTCTCGAGTGATAGCGCCGTTCCTGAGTTCGGGGGCCTCTGTGGCCAGGGTGTCTAAGGGTAAATTGTGAGGAAGTCTCGAGCGGGAGCCGTTGTCGTCGTGGCTGGCCTCCAAGAGCCCACATTCAGACCCGAGCCCGCGTTCTCGCGGTTCAGCGAAAATGCAGCTGGCGTCGAGTCGAGAGCGCGCGGAACCGTTCCCGGAGATCAACGTCTGTATTTACTGAAAATCCAACAACAACAATCATTTAACCATCATGCGCCATACACCCACATGTCGCATAGATCCTTCTGGATACCACGCCCCATCATGGGGGATTGTTTAGCATGCGGGGCCCGGTTTTCCATCGCCCAAATATCCCGCCTCAAAAGACATCCACATATCGGGCGCCACATCGCCATCGCAATCGCCCTGCGCACGCCCTGTACCTCGGAGGAGGAGGAAGAGGACGAGGAGGGGAAGGAAGATGAGGGAGAAGAAGAGGGAGAGGAGGAGGATGGAGGAGGAGGACGAGGAAGAGGAGGAGGAGGAGGAGGAGGAAGAAGGAGAGGATGAGGAGAAGGGGGAGGAAGGAGTAGTTGTAGTAGCAGTATCTCCGAGGACGAAGTGGTTCTTACTCCTCGTTCGAACTGTTACGCCACCATCCTGCGGCCTCGGTGCGTGACTCTGAAAGTTAACGCCCCCAGGCGCTGCCGAGGAGGAGGAGGGGAGGAGGAGGAGAAGGAATAGGAGGAGGAGGAGGAGGAGGAGGAGGAGGAGGAGAAGGAAGAGGAGGACGACGAGGGGGAGGAGAAAAGGGCGCCAGTCCAGCGTAAAACGGGAGGAAGTCAGGGGCAGGAGCGCTGGTTTTGTCGGGACGGGGGCTGTCGGCGGCGAGCAAGAGCACCGCCTTCAGTTAAAAAGGAAGGAAGTGTCGAGCGGGAGCGTTGCTGTTGCTGGGGATCGGCACCGATGAAAGAAAAAAACGCGCCTGTCCAAGGTAAAACGGGAGGAAGTCTCGATCGGGCGCGCTGGTTTTGTTGAGGCGGCTGCTTTCGGCGGCGGGCAAGAGCACCGGCCCTGGGTAAAACAGGAGGGCGTCTCGAACGGGAGCGTTGTTGTTGTTGTTGTTGTTGTTGTTGTTGTTGTTGTTGTTGTTGTTGTTGTTGTTGTTTGGGGGCCGGTTTTGGTTGTCCCCCAAGACGTCTGAAAGTGAGCCTCATGTTCGATGGAAATGCAGCCGGGCCAGGGCGCCTGTAAGGGTCCAACAATAACAATTGTTTAGTAACATTCAAAAGCAATATCAACAACAGAAAAAAACAACAACAACAATAAGTTTAAGACTGTTCGCTCTTATCTTCACGCGTGCCATTCAACACGTATACCCCGAACCATCGATACCCACACTCTTCAACTTCGATCGCATCCCCTTTGGTGCCCATGTTTCTTGCCTGCAACGTGTATTTCGTGCAGCCCCCGAGGCGGGGGAAGAAAGGACGGATGGAAGGAAGGGACAAAGGGAATACGATCGAAGGGGGCGGCGCCTGAATCAATTGCGAGGAAGTCCCAAGCGACAGCGCGATCCCTGAATGTCGAAAATGCGACGCATGAATTTATTGCGGGGAAATATCAGGCGAGAGCGCGATTCTTCTACACATGGCGAGGAAGTCCGTGGGCGGGAGCCGCTGTTGTTGTAAACCAAGGGCCAGGGGAACAGTTTGAGCAGGAAAACTTTCCCCGGTAAAAACACAACGATCCCAGGGAGGGGCACTTCAATTGAAAAATACGCATGTTACGCGAATGCGTGAGTCCTGCATAACTCGCCCGGAAAACTCGGACGCGAGCGCGATTCCTAACTAAATGATGAAATCCAATGCGAGAGCGCGACTCCTGAATGGCGAGGGCGCGGCGCCTGAGTCAATTGCGAGGAAGTCTCAAACGACAGCGCGATTCTTTGATCAATTGCCAGGAAGTCCGTTCCGAGAGCGAGATTCCTCAGTAAACTGCAAGAAAGAATCTGGCAGGAGCCGTTGTCGTTATCAACCCGTGGCCAGGGGCGCAATTTGAGGAGGAAGTCTTTCCCTAATGAAAAACAGGGTGCAAGCACTGGGAGGCACTTCAATTGAACAAAAAACGCATGTTACCGGAGGGGGGATCACCAATAACTTTTCTTCAGCAATGAAGTTCAACGGCATCGTTTGCCATCGTGTCGTCTGGATGCCGGGATCGAATTGGATCAATCGGGCCGCAATACATATCAAACTGGACAGATCGGATCGAGATGGACCCTGAACGGGGAGCAGATAAAAGGCACTCCGCGGATTGCCGCCCGCCCTCCGCTTTCTTCGGCCCGAATGTCGTTATTCCGAAGGGTCCAGACCAAGCTCTACGGCACTCCGCCATGGCCCGCCTCATTCGCCTTATCCTCCTCGTCTTCCTCCTCCTCCATCCTCAACCTGCTCCCACTTTTCTCGTTCAGCCTAGTGGGTAAAGGAGATCGGTGGACAAATACGGCGAATCGGTCATGACTCACGCATGCGTAACATGTAGCGATTGTCCTCCCACCACGTTAATCCAGAGGCCAGAACGATCCACCTTATATTGTCCATCATGCCGCCTTTTTTGTCGAGCCTTCAGAACGAATATGATGTCATGGCATGATCGGCTCAGGATACGTCCCAAGAATTCTGGAGTACGTGGCGGCCCTGGGTCTCTGTAGCCGGTGTGTCAAATACGCGAGCCTGGAACTCTTGGAACGCATCACAGTCATGACTTCTTGACCCTGTGAATCTACTCTGGGTGAAGCAAAGAAGGTACCGATGAGGCTACTCCCCGAATCCCTGCTAGGGTGCCATCCGACCAGGATGTCGACGCGAATCCTGGCGTGGCGGCGAGAGCCTCCCCGGAGGTCCAAAAAGGCCAACACGAGAAAGGTGGTAGCGCTACAGGTTCGGCCTGGCCCAAGGAGCGACAACTAGCGACGCCCCTTCATCCAAGGAGCACCAGGGAGGCTCGCCGCCAAAAAGGCAGCGGAGCGCATGCACAAACCAGAGGAACGGCCGAGCCCCTGTTGAAAAGCGAGTGTTCCTTCTTCAAGCTGGATGAAGGGGCCTTGGGACACACAAATCAATACACACAAATAGAAGAATTCCCTATATTTTCACATCTTGTCTGGGTTTTTGTCTTCCCCCCCTCTTCCCATATTTTCCCATATTTTCCTGGGAATCGACGATTAATTGTGTCTGTGTGTTTCCCTCCTGACTGGATCACGCATCGGTGCCTCCTCCTCGGCTCTCGGGCCACAGCTCGGGCCTCCGGCGGCCGTCAGGGACGAGCCTGGCACCCCGGGGAAGGCCCTCGACTGGGCGCGACTGGTGGAGCCCACAGCGGTCCTCAGAAACATGCGAAGACTCCCGAGCGCCCCCGAGAACTCGGCTGCTCTCGCCCATCCCTGCCCATGATTTGGGCGCCCGAATCATCGGGGGTAACTCGGGTCCGGGGTAAATCGGGTTCGGAATCCCGAAAAACCAACCCGAGTTAGCCCTGACCCGAGTTACCCCTGATGATTCGGGGCTCTGGACGCCCGAATTATCTGGGGTAAGTCGGGTCCAGGGTAAGTCGGGTTCGGAATCCCGAAAAACGAACCCGAAATAGCCCTGACCCGAGTTACCCCTGATGATTCGGGGCTCTGAATGATGCCGCCCCCCACTTAGACGGGCGCGTCCCACTACTCGCAAGGCAACTCCTCGCGAATGGCCTGGATCCCCCACGGGGGATCTGCGATACATTCCATCGGAGCAGACATGTATGTTTCGGACGTTTGCGAATAAGCGCTTTGCGAGTAGTGGAACCTCGCCATCGCTCGGACGTCCATTCCCTGTGTTTTTTTCTGTTTCGTGCGCGGCTTTTTCGCCAAATGATTAAGGATACTCCTCGATGGTCTTCGCCGAAGGAAAAATGCACACGTCCGAGCGATGCCAAGGGAGCGCGCCCGGTGACCAGTCATCACCCCCCCTGTTGGCCGCCTCCGAAGCCCCGCCCCTGGCGCGCGCCTGCCGGGACATCATCTTCAGCATCAGCAGCGCCACGTCCTCGGACGTCCAGTAGCAGAAGTGGCTGTGGAGGAGCCCTGCCCCCCCCCGGGCGACGCCATGCAGACGAGACTCTGGACGGCCGCGGCTCACCGCACGACCAGCGCTAGGAGGCGACTCCTGAGAGGTCTTCTGAAGAACGGTCAGAACCTGCAAGATTGGGCCCAAGATTCAACCGGACTGCGCCGGAATAGTCTGGGAACTCGCTGGAATTAGTTCAGACTAAACGAAGAGAAAGGGGAACTAGGCGGGACGAAAACGGATTAGGCCGCTTCTCGACCACGGACATACCAGCGCCGAGGCTAAGTGTAACCTCCTCAAAACTGTATCCTGACCGGCGAGCGCTGCCACGGAAACCACATATCACAGACCACCCCCACACTTGCGTATGAGCGTGACAGTAGCGAAACATTCGGATAACCCATCTCATTCCACTTTCTTAGCCACCCTCTCTGCTCGGATTGCGTTCCCCTCCATGGAAGAGGGGCGAAGGGAATATGCTCGGAGGGGCGAAGGGAATCTGCAGCGTTGTCTCTGTCCGAAGTGGGCGGGCGCCGTAAGGAAGGCGGGCGGGATCCGACCGCCGTGCTCTTCAGAGCTAATTGAGACGCCGTAGGCGCTGAATTTTTTGTGCCGAAGCCGTGCGGGGTGGGTCGCGGACGGGTCGTCGGCGGCTCGATTGAGCAGGGTCCGACCATCGTGTTCTTGAGAGCCATTGCAAATCAGCCCGCCGCAGGCGCCGATATTGTTCTGCACATTCAACGATTCGGCGGGCGGATCGCGCGGCGGATCGCGGTGGGTCGCGGTGGGTCGCGGGTAGGTCGCGGATCGTTCACGAGGCGGGTGGCTGGCGGGTCGCCTGCGGGGCGCGGGGGTGGGGCGGTCACGAAGCGGGGAAGGAGACTCCGCAACGTGGAAACCCACTTCAACCACGCACGCAGAGACAGTGTTGCACCGCTCAGTCCCCTCCATCTGATGAGAAAGCACTGCGTGACCCACGCGTGGACGCAAAGTGTGAAGTACCAGCGAAGAGCCGAAGCAACGCATGACCAGAGCGTGACCCAGAGCGTGAAACGTCGGCGTGATCCAAGCGTGACCCGAAGCGGACCCAAACCAATGCACGGCAAGCCAGCGCGAGCCATGCATTGCAAGTCGGTGCGGAGCTACATAACGCAATGCATAGCATTAGGTCGGGCCTGTCCCCCTACAGGCGGATTTGGGACGAAACATCAAACATACTCAAGAGAATATTCAAAAAATGCTCCAAAATAGTCAAACATCGTCCCCAGACTATTTTTGTGACTGTTTTTGAATGTTCCCCTTGTAGAGGGACAGGCCCGACGTAAGCGTAGCAACGCAAGGCTCGGGCGTTGGCAGAACCGGATTTAGTGGAACCCGGTTTAGTGATGTGCAGAAGGGGACGCCCCCCCCCCCCCGCCGCCCCGTTCCACGAACCGGAACTGCAGTCAACCGAACAAAACACGCAGGTCATGGCAGACCTGGCTTAGTGCTTCTGGCCCATTTATCGGCTGCACGTAAGAGTGACCCTGGGCAAGGGTGACCTTTGGTGCGCGGCTTTTTGAGGGGCGCGAGGAGGCCAAACACACGCGCGCAAGACGCTACTATCGCACCGAGCACGGCGATCGGGGGACCCCGGTGAGCGCGCACCAAAGGTCACTCCGGCGAAGGGTCACTCTTACGTGCAGTCGAATTGAGGGGCTCCGGGGCCCTACCATTAACCGGGCCCCCTTGCCTGGGGTCCTGGCCATGCCCGAGCGGCAGGCGCGAGGCACGGAGCGGGCGCCACGGGGGAGACCACACGCGGAGCGGCAGAGACGCGCCCACGGGGCAGCGGCGGGGCGCGCCACGGGGTGCCCCGTCGGGGCGAGCACGCGCCGGGCCCTCTCGACACGAGGCCGGCTGTGCGGGAGCTTAGAGAGTAGAGAACCGAGCTCTATACCTGGCCATCGCTAGGACGTCCACTCCCTGTGTTTTTGTTCGGTTTCGTGCGTGGCTTTTTCGCCAAATGATCAAGGATGCTCCTCGACGGTCCTCGCCGAAGGAAAAATGCACACGTCCGAACGATGCCAAGATACACAGACGCGTGTTCTGGGCCTGCTCGGAAGCTTGCAGGCAATGAAACGGATCCTGGCTTGGCTGCCCCGCAGCGCAGCACGCAAGGCGTAGCGTACCGATGCGGAGCTCAACACGTAGGCTGAAAACGTAGGTCCGAGGCGATACATTCGCCAAAACGTGGTCCAATACGTGGAGCCAACACGCAACGTATTGACACGCACGTCTTGAACACGGGACGTGCTGCGTTTCAAAACGGACGTATCGAGGCAACTGAGGATCCTGGTGTATACGGGATCCTGCTGTATACATGCCTCGTTGTTTTCCGAAGAAAGCGGGGAAACACATATACACCACACCACCCCGACGTCGCCCTCGACCCTCCAAAACATCCTGGGATTGAAACACAGCCCGCCACTGGTAATGCATAGGTTCCAATATCCGAGAGAGATCAAGTCGTGGCAATGGGGCGATGTCGCGAAGACAATCTTCAGATGACGCAGCTGACACGAGAAGAACTCGCGGCAGCGAGTCCGAGACTGCTGTCGGCGATTGGGGGGTTATGCGCGCATGACGCTCACGAGGGCCGAAAGATCTTCCTCTTGAGCCCGAGACGTCGGAAGCGCCGTGCCGTTCAAGTGAACGGATGCTCGTTTCAAATCGGGGCGTGCCACATGTTATGGGGGGGATGTGGGAGTTGATCCAACCCGCTGTGGCGTTCGAGCAGCCGTATATTAGGAGCTTGTGTGATGGCCAAGCCCGCTGTGGCGCTCGAGCACCCACATGTTAGGGGAGGGGTTCCGGAAGGTGGCTATGCTCGCGCTGTGGCGCTCGAGCTTCCGACCTTGACACTTTGCTTGTCTTCGTCCTCCTCGTCCTCCGTTCTCCTCCTCTTCTTCCTCTTGCCTCTCGTCCTCCTCCCCCTCCCTCCTCCCGCCCTCTCCCATCTCCCCCCTCCTGCCTCCTGCCTCCTCCCTCCGCTTCCCTCTTTCCTCCTTCTTCCTCCTCCTCCTTCTCCTCTTCCCTCCTCCCTCCCCCTCTCCCTTCTCCCCTTTTTGTCTTCCTATATGCCCCCTCCCACCTCCGTCCCGCTCTCTCCTCCTCTCCCCTCCGCTTGCCTCCTCCCTCCTCCTCTCTCTTGACCCAAAGAAAACCCGTCCCCCTAGAATCATAGCATTGGCCTGCGGAGCCACAGCTTTGTGGATAGCATGATGCGTCACGTGCAATGCCCCGTGGATCAGATTTACTGTGGGTCCAGAGATTAAGTACTGCTACAGATTTTCCCAGAAAATGTGTGGATCCATGGTTTTTTCCACACGGGAATCAATCGGATCCGAAATCTTTGTCTTTTTCACTCCAAGAAGAAAGATCTTTCGAACCGTGGATGTGTGGTTGATCAGGCGCGCATGAACACAATCCTAAGAACAATCGCGCACAGACGCGGACGTACGCTTGAGGCTGGGGTTCGAAATGAACATGAGGAGGCGGCGACGAAGAGCAGACGGACATCTTAAGGCCGTGTGACGATGCGGTTCGACACAAAGTACTCACAACGCAAGGACTAAATTGCCCCGATACGCAACACGCAACACGTAGCGTATCGATACGGAGCTCAACACGTAGGCTGAAAACGTAGGTCCGACGCGACACATTCGCCCAAACGTGGCCCAACACGTGGAGCCAACACGCAACGTTTTGACACTGACGTCTTGAACACGGGACGTGTTGCGTTTCACTATGGGCGTATCGAGACAACTAAGCGCAATCACCGTGCCCGCATCTAGTTGGAACCAGAAACAACAACAAACCATCTGATATAGAAACAAACTGCCAGACGTCGTGCATGGATGGCGGAGTAACGGATTTACCCCTTTCCCGACTCAAATCGCGACAGCGTTGACGAAGACGGATCTGCGCGCAAGAATCCACCTCCAACGTCGGGAGCGTCCAGACGGGCTAGAGTCGGGCGTGGACGAACCTTCAGAGACAATTAAACATCTAACTGGCGTTGTCAGTAGCACGTGAATCAAATTCGCCGGCCCAACGGGCCAGGGCGTGCTAAGATCTCCGGTACCTGGTTAACAGTATTTCTAGTTCGCGCGCGCGGGGCGGCCCCTGGGGGTCCCCGGACGAGAAGTACCCCGGCAAGGTCCCGGCAAGTCCCCGACAAGGTCGGGTCAGAGATGCCGGAGTTCTGTTTCGGAGTCCAAGAGGGCTCCAGATCGGTCCAAGAGGGCCCCGATAAGCTTTCTAGACGGTCCAAGAGAGGCCCGAGACGGCCAAAGATCGCCCGAAGACGCCCCAGATGGCCCCAAGACAGCCCAAGAGGCCTCCAAGACGCTCCAAGGGCCTTCCAAGAGGCCTCCGAAGAGGGCCCCAAGTTGCCAAAATCGTTGATTTTCATTGGTTTTTTCTATGTTTTTTTGCGTTCTGGCCTTTTCGCTTCCGACGCTCCAAGAGGGCCCAAGAGGCCTTCAAGACTGCTCCAAGACGGCCCACGAGGCTCCCAAGACGGCCCCGGAGCGGCCCAAGAGCGCCCCCCAGACGGCCCAAGTGCTGCCCAAGGCGGACCAAGAGGCCCCAAGACGGGCCCAAGAGGGGCTCAAGAAGGGAACCGAGAACTGAAAAATCGAGCCCTCCGCCCCAGAAGGCGCCCAGGACCCCGAAAGAGGCCCCAAGAGACTCTCCAAGACACCCCCAAGACGCCCCAATAAGCTCCCGTGAGGCCCCAAGAGGACCAACAACGTCAGGCCCCAGGCCCCAAGAGGACCAACAAATACCGCCAAGAGCCCGCCGAAAGCCCCCCAAGAGACCGTCACGAGAGCTCAGGAGGCCCCCTGGAGGCCTCCCGAGTTCTCCAAGAGGCCTAAAAAGAGGCGCCAAGAGGCCCCAAACGGCCCCACCGAGGCTCCAAGAGGCCACGAACGCGCAAGCAAACGCCTGCGATGGCACAATACGGGCCGGCGGAATGAGCGAAGCGATTAATAACTCATTCCGAGGGACGGTGGACCGCCAAGCGATACCGTTTAACACCGCAAATAAATATCTGTTCCGCGGAGAGGCGGGTGTGAGTACGAGGGAGAGAAGGGAAATCATGGTTGGGATCTCATTGACATCACGCAAACTTAGCCAATCGAACTATGGAGACCATCGAGCCATCAACGGATCCTGGTGGGATCTCCTCCTGCGGGGTCGGGTTACGGAGTATCACTCCCAGGGGACAAGAAGTGACATAAGTTCGCCGACCAGGGGAGGGGGATGTGAATTGGAACTTGCCGTAAAGTAATCCTGCTCAGCTCAACCTGGTTCAGCCAGCAGTGGAAAACCTGCGCTGCAATGCTTAGGGGGGGCTTGCCAAGCCTGGACCAGCCAATCGGTAGGGGCCCACGCCACGAGCGGCTCGGACTTCTGCGTCATCCCATTCACGGATCCCGCGGCGGCCGACGTCTAGACCCCCATCCTAGAAACTGTGCACCCGTGCTGCAACTTTCTGGGCCATCTTCTCGCAAACCATGCTCCTCGGTGCATCGTGCGCCACTGCCCCTTCCGTATGTCTCGACATATGACTCCACGGCGTGCTCCTTGCGCGCGAGAAAAGATGCGGCAGCGCAGGTAACCGACCAAGACACGAGGACATCCCCCTATATATATATGTATGTATATGTGTGTAGTACATGTGTACACATGTGTATACACATGTGCGTGTGCACAGCAAAACAGACATACAAGACTGCACTGGCGCTTCGCGCCATGTACCTTGGTCCTTGATGTTTGACATGTCGGCAGAACGGCAGGACAGTATAACGAAATAAATAGCGATAAGTCTGTGCTGCCTTGTGAGGCATCGTTGTTACCATATGTTCATTATCCTTCCCATCATGTTTCCTCTTCTTCTTCCTCATTCTCGCCCTACCCTGCGAATTCGCCCCCATCCTCAACTTCTTTTGCGGGAGCTCCTCCTTGGAGAGCCTCTTGGGGGCCTCACGGAAAATGTTAAGGTCTTCTGGGTGCTTCCTGTAGGCCTTCTGGGTTTCTTATGGGTGCCTTTGGGGGCTTCCTCGGGCCACCCTGCTTCCAACCGCGGTCTCCCTGAACGACGGGGTCACGATGTGGAATGCTTCGGGGGACATATTGGAGATATCTTGGGCCGTCATGGGGCTCTCTTCAGGCCATCTTGGGGCCGAGTTGGGCCGTTTTAGGGCTATCTTGGACTGACTGGGAGCCCTTTCGGGTAATTCTAGGGCGATGTTCTGGCCTCCTGGACGGTCTCGGACGCAGGGAAAACCGAAGAACACAACATGTCCCAAACCATGCAGAAACCATTTGACATCACGTTTGCTTTCCTGCATTCTGAAAACCCCGTGGGGTTCTTGTTTGGATCGTCTTCGGGCGTCTGGTGGATGTCTGGGGCCTCTCAGGGCTCTCGCGGGGCCGTTCCGCCGCCCTCCCGACCGACCTGGGCCCTGGGCAGGAGCCCCCCGGAAAGCCCGGGGAACCTGCTGCAGGGGCGTCCTAGGGGCCCTGGATCCAGGGGGACCCGTTGTGGGGGCCTGTCCTTCCTCGCCACCGCGCCAGACTTGGAAGAATATAAGCAAAGGAAATGTCTATATGTGTGCAAAAAAAGCACTACGATACACACAAGTTGAAGTACATACATGGAGACGGGGTTCTGGAAACACTGCCTCCCACAAGTCATCTCTTGGACGCGCATATGTTGCTTCCACTGGTGGAGCCGACGCCATTTTGCTTCCTCCGTCTTCCCGCCAAAGAAGAGATGCCAACCTCTCGATCCAACGACGGCAAGGTCTTGAGCAGGGACCGGCCGTCCCGGCATTCCTATAGTCCTAACACGAAATGTTCTTAGAACCCAAAAATGTTCCAATAGCAAAAACAATGTTCTCAGATCACAAACCCGATGTGATAAAACAAGACTCTGCCAGACATGTATAAGAACATTTCGTGGAAACCACAAAAGGTTCTCAGGACATTGTTTGGTAGGGCTATCGGCGAGCCAGGACCCTTCGCCACTGCTTGGAGGTCCTTGCCGGCACGCCTTCTGTTTTCCGAGACAGAGGGGGAGAAACAAAGAGAGGTAGGGAGAAAGAGAGAGAAAGAGAGAGAGAGAGAAAGAAAGAAAGAAAGAGAGAGAGAGAGAGAGACAGAGAAATAAAGAAAGAGAGAAGGAGAGGGGGAAAGGAAAAGAGGGACAGAGAGCGACGTGAAGGAACTGTGCCAATTGTGTTAACAAAAGGGTGCGAGCGGTGTTGGACGCGGCCGCGAGAACAGAGCGGCAGCAGACAAGGGCCCCTTGCCGGCGGGCCGGACAGCAATCCAGCAAGTAACGGCGGGGCCATCCTCCTCGTCCTCGGTCCCCCCCCTCATCCTCCTGGTCCTCCGCCCGGCTCCTCCCGCCGTGAGAGAATCGCGACGGACGGTTCTGGGTTGCTTTCTCGGCCTCTGGGGGCTTCCACCGGGCTCCAGGCCCGTCCACAAAACGGCTCGGGATGACAAGCTGGTCCCGTGGAGAAGGTCCTGCGCTCCGCGGGTCCACGTAGTGAACACAAAAATCCGCCGACCCTGTCGGCGTGTGTGAGGGGCTTGTCCGTTCAAGTCGTCATCTCCGTCATTCGTTGGTCGTCGTCTCTGTCGTCCCCATTTCCTGCCTCCCCCCTTTCCCTGGGCACGTCGAAGCTTCCCCCTTTCACAGGGACCTCCTCAGCGCGCCAGCCAAAGCAAAGTTGAGCAACGTCGTAATTGAGTCGAAGGGAAGCCCCTTCCCTTCGATCCCTCCCCCGCCGGGGGGGTGGGGGGTGGGGGGTGGGGGGGGGTCCTGGGGGGCGGTGTCAGATACCCCTGGGAGTCCCAGAGCCCCCAAAAGCCCCAAGACGGACCAAAAGTGCCCCAAGAGGCCCCAAAGACAGTCCAAGAGAACCCCGAATCGCCGAACGATCTGTCCAAGACGCCTTGACGGCCTCCAGACGGCCCAAGAGGCCTGCAAAGCGCCCCAAGAGGCCTGCAAGACGGCCTCCAGAGCCCCAAGAGGCAAAATTCATGGATTCCCCATACGTGTTTGAAAGATTTTGGCGTTCTTGCCTCTTCCGCTTCTCGACGCGCGAAGACGGCCCAAGAGGCCCCCAAGATCGCCCCGAGACGGCCCAAGAGGCCCCCAAGAGGGTCACCTAACGGCCGAAGAGGGTCCCAAGACGGCCCAAGACGCCTCCAAGAGGGCCCAAGAGGCCCCAAAGACGGCTCCAGAAGAGTGCCCAGACGGGGGACCCGAACGGACATTTCGAGCTCTCAGCCCCAAGACGCCCCCAAGAGGCCCCGAAGAAGCCCCAAGAGGCCCCAAGAGGCCTCCAAGGGCCCCCCAAACTGCCCCAAGACACCCCAGGAGAGCCCCAAATTGCCCAGGAGGCCTCCAAAAGTGCCTCGAGACGGCGCAAGCGGAGCCCTGGACGGCCCAAGACGGCCTCAAGAGAGCCCCAGGCTGTCCCGAGAAAGCCTCTGGCCCCCTCCTTTTCCTCCTCCTCCTCCTCCTCTTCCTCCTCCTCCTCCCCTCTCCCTCTGCTCCCCCTCCTCCTGCTCTCCTCTGCCTCCTCCTCCTCCTCTTGCTTCTCCTCCACATCCTTCTCCCCCCTCCTCCTCCCTCGTCCACCTCCTCCGCCCCTCCTCCACCTCCCACCCATCCGGCTCCCCCTGCCCCCCCTCGTTTTCAGCTTCGTCGTTCTCAGGGTCGGCGGCACCGGCCGTGAGGCCCTGGCAGTATACCGACAGCGGGGCCCTTCGCCCCGTGCTGTCCTGTTGCTTGGGACTGTCGCCTCCTCTTCCCCGTTCTCTTCCTCCCCCCCCCTCCCTCCGTCCCCTCCTCCTCGTCTTCCTCCTCAACCTCCTCATCCTCCCGCCCCCCCCCCTCCTCCTGCACAGCATCCACATGCCCTTCCCTTCCTCCACCTTCCCCGCCATCCTCTTTCCAGCGTGGCCTCACTTCCTCACCCTCTCCCTACCCCTCTTCCTCGTCACTCTTCCTCCTCTTCTCCTCCTCCTCCTCCTCCTCCTCCTTTTTTCCTCCTCCTCCTCCTTTTCCTCCCCCTGCACATCCTTCTCCCCCGCTCCCGTTGACACCTGACGAAGCGCGCAACCACAAGTCCACAGCGATGCCGACAGCGACAACGTCTTGACCACAGGCGGCGCGCGCCGACCATCGCCAGGAAGCCCAACCCCCATGACGAGAGCGAGGGCGAGACTGCGGCAACCGTTCGCATCACGACGACCTGCGCGCTGGCTTCTGACAACGCGCGGGTCGTTCCACCTTGAGAAATCACAGGCTTCCGATGCCAACTATCGTCCGATGCATGGCGGCTCTGGGCCACCGGCGGCGCTCAAACCTGCACGCCCGCCCCGAGGTCGCAGCCGCGTCGGCTCCACGAGGGCACCATCGTAGATCCACAGATCCATGTCGACAGCGTTGGCGACAGGGCACGCCAACCAGAAGGTGTGTGAATGAGAGCGGCGATGCACTCGCCACTGTGCCAGCGGCACGCCGGGGCGTGCCAGAATGCTCGCCTGGTGTATGTTTAGGGCTTGTTAGTGTTTTAAGAGGCCGGCTCCCACCCCCCCTCATCGCGCGAATGGTCCGAAAAAGGCCCCACCCCCCGATGAGGTGTCAGGAACGCTTGTCGCCCTCCTAAACGACTCTGGCGTCGCAAAACGGCCAGAAGACGCAACAAGATCGTCGAAAGACTGCCCGCGGAGGTCCCAAAGACTACAGGATCTCAACAAGCTATTCCCATATCCTCCAAGGCGCCACCAGGAGACGCCCGAAAAACTTCCAAGCGACAAGAGTTGAGCAACCCTCAGGAAAGCACCGCGCTTGCTTCTGAAGTTGTTCGGCCTCACATCGCCTCGGAGCTGCTTTGAGGGAGCACCCAGAAGCACTCAAGACGACCAAAGACAGTCCAAAGAGCTCCCCAAGACAGCCTCGCGAGCACACTTTTCTCATTCCAGGCAGCGCCAGGAACGCCAGGTAGCGTCCCAAAACGGCTGCGAGGCGCTGGATGACAAGCAACAGACGGCAAAATGAGCCCCAACAATTTGTAAGGTCCTCACAAGAAACCCCCTCACAGGCCTCAAAAAACCTCCAGAAAACGCCACAGAAGGTCTCCAGCGAGGTCCTCAGAAGCGAAACATACGGAACAACCTGAGAGAAATCAAAATGCCGTGCTTCCTAAGCTTTTGGGTTCAGACCGACTCGGGAAAGCAATCCTAGAAACGCTGTGACTGGCTTCTGGACAGCTCGCTCCACGACGGCCGAACGTCAACCTGAAAACGGCTGCACATCGCCGCGCGGCATCATCACCCGAAGGCGGCCCAACGAGCTCACACAAACTCCGAGATCGCCCCGGCATGCCCACAACGGCCTCCAAGACTCCAGGATGCCTCCAGGAGACACCCGTGTCCTACATCGAGGCCATCATACATCCCCAGGCCGTAAGTTGTTCCTCTGGAAAACAAATAGCAAGACCAATGGATCAAACTTGATCCCTGACTCGGTGTGCCGGTTTCCTGGATACTATGTATGTGTTGCGCGGATGTGAAGAACAATGGATCAATGTATCTGCCTTGGATTACCCTACAATGATAGCTAATATCCTGGACCCACGAGACATTGGGTCCACAGGGCACTGCACGTGAGGAACCATGCCATCCACGGAGATGTGACTCTGCAGACCAATTCTATAATTCTACGGAAGAAACAATTGTCCGAGGGTGAAGGGAGGGACGGAAGGAGGATGCAAGGGGAGGGGAGAGGAGGACAGAGAGGGATGGAGGTGGGAGGGGAATCCAGGAAGACAAATGGAGGAGGAGGGGGAAGGGCGAGGGAGGTGAGAACAGGAGAAGGAGGAGGAGGAGGAGGAGGAGGAGGAGGAAGGAGGAAGAAAGAAGCGGAGGGAGGAGGCACGAGGGGGGAGAAGGCGGGAGGAGGGAGGGGGAGGGGGAGGAGGACAAGAGGAAAGAGGAAGAAGAGGAGGAGGGAGGACGAGGAGGACGACGACAAGCAAAGTGTCAAGATCGGAAGCTCGAGCGCCACAGCGGGCATCGCCACCTCTCTGACCCCTTACAAAACATCTAAGTGCTCGAGCGCCACAGCGGGCCTGGCCATCACACAAGCTCCTCCCATCACATACGGTTGCTCGAACGTCACAGCGGGCCCAACCAACTCCCGCACCCCCTCCCATAACATGTGGCGCGCCCCGATTCGAACCGAACGCAACATACATCTGTTCACTCGAACGCCACGGCGCTTCCGACATCCCGGGCTCAAGAGAAACAGAGTTCGGTGCCACATCGTAACCAACACGTGCCAGCACGCGCCAAATTCTTAATGGGATTTGGCACTTCGCCTCCCGAACAAACTGTGCCAAATCCGTCGGCGGGAGTTGGAACTGCGTCTCCCCAACCAACACCTGCCAGAATGTGCCAAGTCCTTCATCCCCAGGCCGAACAGTCGTTCCTTTTGGAATGCACCTACGACAACACCAGTGGATGACATGGGATCCTGTTTTTGCGTGTGTAGCAATTTCGTGGGTCCTAGTTATGTGTTGCATGGATCCAATTTCCCGTGTATAAGAAATAATGGCTCCATTCATTTCCCCTCCAGTGAACCTATGGCTGTAATTCATAGCCTGGACCCACAGGACACTGGATCCGAGGGCCACTGCACCTGAGGCAACATGCTATCCACGGAGATGTGGCTCTGCAGACCAATGCTACAATTCTACCGAAGAAGGGTGTTCCGAGGGTGAAGGGAGGGAAGGAGGAAGGAGGCAAGGGGAGGGGAGAGGGGGGGAGGGGGACAGAGGTGGGAGGGGAATCCAGGAGGGCAAATGGGGGAGGAGGGGGAGGGGGAGGGAGGAGGGAAGAAGAGGAGACGTAGGAAGAGGAGGAATAAGGAAGGAAGGAAGCGGAGGGAGGAGGCATGAGGGGGGAGAAGGCGGGAGGGAGGGGCAGAAGGACGAGAAAGAAGAGGAAGAACGGGAGGGAGAGAGGACGAGGAGGACGAAGACAAGCAAAGTGTCAAGGTCGGGAGTTCGAGCGCCACAGCGGGCATAGCCTCCTCTCCGAACCCCATCCATAACATCTTTAAGTGCTCGAGCGCCACAGCGGGCATAGCCTCCTCTCCGACCCCCTTACAAAACATCGAAGTGCTCGAGCGCCACAGCGGGCCTGGCCACCACACAAGCTCCTCCCATAACATGCGGTTGCTCGAACGTCACAGAGGCCCAGCCCACTCCCGCATCCCCTCCCATAACATGTGGCACGCCCCGATTCGAACCGAACGCAACATACATCTGTTCACTCGAACGCCACGGCGCTTCCGACATCTCGGGCTTCCGACCCGCGGAAGTAGGCGAAAAGCGTGGAAATACATTCGGACAATCACAGCAGTTTGCTTCCAATGCGTTTGGGTTTCAGATCTCCGCGGGAAGGAATCAGATAGCACCTACAAACACCCAATACAGCCCCAAAACTCGACATCTATTCACAAGACAGCCCCACAACTGCATGATAACCCCCCAAAAGAACCAAGGAGGGCTCCAAGACTGCCAGCATAACTGTGTATATATATATATATATATATATATGTGTCCCCAATATGGTTCGATCGAGCCTCTTCGAAGACAATTCTGTGGAACATTCGCGCACACGACTACCCAACAGGCCCTCAAGAAGCCCACCGGAACATCGAATAAGCTTCCCGTAAACATGGCAACCGACGACGAAAAGGGGCGTTCAAGACAGGCGCCAGCTCAAACACGGCACTGAACTACTGCAGCGTGTAAGAATATTGACCTGCTTCCCGTTGTGTTGCTGACCTGGCACAGTGGCAGAACTTGCCGCTGGCAACTGAATGGAAACTCGCTCAGTATTCGCTGAGCGGCTCCAAATTCGCTGTCCAAACGGGCCACAGCCGTGCTAAGATCTCCGGCTACTGGTAAACAAACAATACTTCGAGTTCGCGCGCGCGGGGCGGCTCCTGGGAGTCCCCGGACGAAAAGTACTCCGGGCGGACCGACCCAGAGATGGTTTTGCCTTCTAGGCGCAGCTTTCAGGCGCCCCAGAGCGCTCCTGGAGGGCCCCAAAAGACCCCAAGACGGTCCAAGAGGGCTCCGAGTCGCCGACCGATCGGTCCAAGACGCCCAAGATAGCCTCCAGACGGCCGCAGACGCCCCCAAGACGCCCAAAGAGGCCTCGAAGAAGCGTCTCAGGAGGGCCCCAGGAGGCAAAAACCATAGATGTCCAATCGTTTTTTGGAGGATTTTGGCGTTCTCATCTGTTCGGCTTCCCGACGCTCAAAGACGGCCCAAGAGGCCCCAAATATCGCCCCACGACGGCCCCAGAGACCTCCCAAACAGCCCCAAGACGGCCCAAGAGGGCCCCAAGACGGCCCAAGAGGGCCCCAAGACGGTCCAAGAGGGCCCCCAAACGGCCCCAGAGGCGCCCAAGATCGCCCAAGAGGCCCAAGAGGGGTCCAAGAGGGAGAACACGAACGACTAAGTCGAGCCTTCCGCCCCAAGAGGCCCTCAGGAGGCCCCAAGATGCCCCCAAGAGAGCTCAGGAGGCCCCCTGGAGGCCTCACGAGTTCTCCAAGAGGCCTAATAAGAGGCGCCAAGAGATCCCAAACGGCCCCAACGAGGCTCCAAGAGCCCACGAACGCGCAAGCAAACGCCTGCGATGGCACAATACGGGCCGGCGGAATGAGCGAAGCGATTAAATAACCAAGCAGCCAATACATATTACGGCAACAAGCTACACGATCAGACAGCGCTCTTGATACAGGCTACTCCAACAGGAGAAGCAAGGGACGACACATTTGAAATCATCGAGCACGCATTACGAGAGGTATTAGCAAATGGTGTTTTCGAAGAGCAAGCCAACAATGCCCGCTCCTGCAGCACGTAGTCCACCCGCATCTTTGGCTTCACCACCTTGTCCTCTACCTTCTCCTCGTTGTGGTCCTTCTGGCCAGACCGCTCCCATTCTCTGCTGCGATGCAGGCTGCAACGCACGACACCGACAATGCCGCAACCTCAACCTCAACGTTTGCTCCATCCATGGCATGGCGTTACGTTTCTTGCGGCCCCAACAGAGCTGGCCACCTTCATCCATCAGTAGCGAGCAACTGCGGCAAAGGATAAGGGTGTAGGTAGAAGGGAACGACATCATCGCACATCGTGCGGCTGCTTCACCTCATGTCGACGTAGACGTGCGCCTCGAACTCCACGCTCATCGTTCACTGTTGGGCGATACCTGCCGATCCCGACGACAAGTCTTTCCAGGACGTCTTTTCTTCCTCAAACATGGGATTGGCGGTCATCCCCATCATCGGGCGATCCAGCCCGCAACATAAGCCGAGCCCTGTGCAAGGGTTCCGAGCATGAGGACGATGGGAAGGTAGGTAACCCCAAAATGTGATAATAATATTAATCATAAGAATAATCATAACAAGAAGAAAAATCATAACATTGTTAATAATGCAACAATCCTGCCAAAACCCATGTTCGCCCCCCTCCCCCCAGGTGATAGCCGCGATCCGACAGCAGAGATAATGATTACTCAAAAAAGGCCCGGTTGGGGCCGCTGGTGGCGATCTACCTCGAACGCCGGGCGCCGGGCGCCGGCACCGCCGTCGGGCTGACGCGGCGCCGTCCTGCCGCGACCCTCCCACACTTCCCAATTGGGAGGTTCGAGGAGGGCCCTCCCTGGGCATCGCTCGGACGTCCATTCCCTGTATTTTTTTTCGGTTTCGTGCGTGTATTTTTCGCCAAATGATCAAGGAAGCTCCTCGATGGTCCTCGCCGAAGGAAAAATGCACACGTCCGAGCGATGCCAAGCTCCTGGAACTGTGCCCAACGAAGGCCCGGGCTCGTAGCCTCCAGCGGGAACCGCGGGCACTGCCGAAAACATCAACAGGACCGGGGGTCCCAAAACCGTGGGGTGACGGGCTAGACGGCGACCTCGAAGCCCCCAGAAGCCTCACCGCGCGGTCCGTCACCGCACGGTCTTGGCACCTCGGAGGCTCCGGTCGCCCGAGACGTCCTCGGAGAACGACCCGAGTCCCAAATCCGTGCGGTGACCCCGGGTTCCCTCTGAGTGACATCGCGGTGTGGTCACCGCACCGTTTGGGTGCCCCCGAGTAGTACAGCCAGAACAAAGATAAAATAACATCCTTCACGAAGATGAGACCCTCCGCCTGTCAAACTGAAGAACACTCGAGGATACCCTCCTCCAAGATACACAAACACACGCAACAAGCACGAAGAACACTAG